ACTTTTTGAGGCTTTCCCTCCTTATGGAGGGTGTCAGTGATGGTTTTCTGCACAACTGTCAGGTCAGCAGTCTTCCCCATGATTGTGATTCCTACTGAACCAGACTGAGAGACCATTTAAAGGCTCAGAAACCCTTTGCAGGTGTTATGGCTTACTTAGCTGATTAGAGTGGGATACTGTGAGCCTAGGATATTGCACCTTTTCACAATATTCTAATTTACTGAGATTGTGGATTTAGGGTTTTCATGAGTTGTAAGCCATATTCATCGCACTTATGACAAATCACGGCTTGAACTATCTTACTTTGCATGTAATGCGTCTATCTCATATATTAGTTTCCCATTTTGCGTTGCATTACTGAAATAAATGAACTTTTGCACGATATTCTAATTTTTCAAGTATCACCTGTAAACTCTGGGATCTATGGAACATAGTAAAACGAGATGAACTACAATAATGGTCTAATAGTCGGAAAATATATTAAAGACGGAGTAAAGACAGAGGAAAGGGAAGAAAATTGAAGGAAAAAGAGGTTATAATAATTATCTTAATGCATTTTCCTTTTTTTTTTTTCCTCTTTTGATTTGTTGATAACATAATTGACTCTGAGGATAATGTGGAAGCACACTTACATTTTGTTGAGTAGGAACTCTACTCTCAATATAATACAATACAGCTTATAAAGCTCCACTTCCCACATAGTAACAAAAAGCAAAATCACTATTTAGTTCTAACTGCAGTCTTAGCAAGCCCTCTCCTCTTTCCCAAATCTCTTCACAAATAAATAACCAATAAGAGGCTTCTCATTGAGAGCCCGAGAGGGCACACAGCAAGGCTGGCTCTGCATGGGCTGGAAAGGGAGATGAAAGGATCTCCCCTGCTGGCCTTGGCCCATGGTCATCACGGCCCACCGGGCATTTGCCCAATGGCCAGTCTAGGTCTGTGCCGCAGAAGCCACCTCCGCCCACCATGAAAGCCTGAATCATCCACTAGTGGGCAGTAGTAACCAGGTTTGACCCCTGATCTAGAGTAAGAAAATTAAGACTTCATCCAGAGAAAAAAAAACTGATAAAATCACTACTGTGAAAATAAATTTGGATACAGGGCCGTCTTTAATATTGTTTGTCTTTTTTGAGCTCCGCTCCAGCTTGAGAGTGGTGAAAAGATAGATCCCCATCTGTCGTTTAACTCCCTCAATGCTATGCCAGCTGGGGATCTACCATTAGGCCATCCTTGCAGGTTTGTATTTATGAGCAATGTGCGTTTGAATGTAAGCATGTTTTTGTAGAGTATGTGTGTGCATGTAGGAGTGTATTTCTATGTACTGTTACCATTGGAATCCAGTGGTGTACTTGTGTATACACACTGGCACACAGATAAACACAATAATAAGGTTTTCTATTCACCAGAAGAAATTGGTAATACAGTATTGTTATACAATATACCATCGGTAAATAGCCGATAATAAAATATATCTAGAAAAAATAGTTACTCCTAAAATAATAAAGAATGATTGATTAGAACAAAATAAACCTTTTATTATTACTGAAATTAAGAATGCGATTGACAAACGAAAAAAAACAAAAAACCTCGGACCAGATAGATTCAGTGGACTGTTTTTTTAAAACAGTTGAAAACATTTCACTCTTTCAGCCACTTTTAATGAGCGAATTAAGGGTTGTCAGATGAAATGTTAAAAGCAAACATCTTGCCTATACCCAGACAAAGAAAGAATGCGACACTAGTGACCAATTTATAGACCGATATCTCTTATAAACTTAGATGTTGTGATCTATGCAGCCATTCTGTCGGAGAGAGACTGAAGCATAAGATTCATAAAATAGTTCATGCCAATCAAATTAGCTTAATACCCAATAGATTTTCCTTCAATAATATAAGAAGACTAATTAACATCTTAGATATAGCAAATAAGGAAAAGCTTTTGAGAAAGGTTTTGATAGGGTTAGTTGGGAGATCTTTATATTCGCACCCAGATACGTAACTAGAATCCACCGGGCCCGGTGTGAAAATTGCCCTGGGGCCCACCTCCTATGTGTTTCATTCACTCCCCCCCCCCCAGGTGTCTCATTCCCGCACCCTGGCCCTCTCGTGTGTCTCATTCCTTCTTAACTATCAAAATTTAGCAATTAGTATAGGATATAATAAAAAGATAAAGGGGTTTGTCTGTGATCGAGCTGAGAGCAAATTATGTATGCATGCGAACGATGTCCTTATAACAATAACAGACCCAGGCAGCTTTCAACATGAGTTAATAGAGGCCATAAAGAGATATTCAGAAATATCAAGCTATAAACTAAACATGGAAAAATTGGTTATTCTGCCAGTAAATTTAGAAAAACATTTACAAGAGCATCTTAAATCTTAAATTTTCATGGTCTATAAAATAAATACACGAATTGTGTCTAAAAAAAATAACTGCTAAAGTAGAAGAATTGATGGAATGAAACTTTTGTTGATGACCATTGATGGAATAAAACATGATTGTCTTAAAAGACACAAATCATATACTTAAAGGACCACTATAGGCACCCAAACCACTTCAGCTCAATGAAGTGGTCCTCTAGTTTTAACCCTGCAGCTGAAAACATAGCATTTTCAGAGAAACTGCTATGTTTCACTGAGGGTTAATCAAGCCTCTAGTGGCTGTCTCACTGACAGTCGCTAGAGGCGCTTCTGCGATTCTTACTGTGAACATCACAGTGAAAAGACGCTGGACATCTATAGGAAAATATTAAGTAATGCTTTCCTATGGGTGGTTTGTATGCGCGTGCGGCTCTTGCCGTGCATGCGCCTTCGGCGCTGACGTCCGCAGGAAGAGTATAGGTCACCGGTGCCGAGGGAGCCCAGCGCTGGAGAAAGGTAAGTGGTTGAAGGGGTTTTAACCCCTTTAGCCCAGCAGGAAGGGGGCCCTGAGGGTGGGGGGGACCTAATGACCCTACAGTGCCAGGAAAACGAGTTTGTTTTCCTGGCACTATAGTGCTCCTTTAACGAATGAAGAAATATGGAGATATCATGGATAGGTAGGATTCAGGTGGTGGAATTGTATATTGTCCCTAAATAGACATATTTAATTGAACATCTACCACTCAAATGTCTAACTGTTAGATCAAGATGGCTCAAGATAGTATTTCAAAATTTGTATGGCAAGGAAAGAAACCTCAACTCTGTAAGATTTTATTAATTGGACATGCAGAACAAGGTGGTCTAGGATAACTGATGGTAATGCACTACTATTGCGCAAATATCTTTAAACATATCTATATGATGCAAATTGATACTTCACAAAAGGAAGCATGGTATAAAATGGAATGTTACGCCACGAATACAAAATATCTCCCCATAGTTACGTAGAATTGTATTAGCAGAGACTGTGAAAACTTGAAAGAAATAGTGTTGTATTATGAATAACATTCTCCAAAAATAGCATAATATTAAAAAAAAAGATTCCCAACTGGTGTTGAATACCTATCCTATAATAGTCAAGTCAAGTCAATGTTGGCTAGCCAGCATGGTTAAGGTTAGATATAAAGATAATTACAGATCTATCAGGAGATTAGTTGAAACCTTTTGACCAACTGATTCGAGAATTTGATTTACCTAACCAAAAATATTTAAAATAACTGAGGGTTAAGAATGTTTTACTTGAAATGTGTATAGAGGAAAACAAAAAATTTCCTCAAGACTAGAAGTTATATTCCAGAAAAAAAGAATGCAAATGAGGTAATACCCAACCTAATCACCTTGAATGAATTTAAATTAAAGTAAGGAAAATAGTTACCTCACCCTCTAAAAGAAATTACAAAGGTTAATTAAAAATATAAGTGCACAAGGAGAAGGCTCCATACCCTTGTCTATTGTCTTTTATGTTGAGTTGATATGATTATGGATCTATGCTGAAACAGAATATTAAAGTTAAACATGGATGATAACTTTTGTAATTTAATGATGGATATGTCTGTGTTGCATATATTTTTGTAAAATTTTATATGCATAATAAAAATCTGTTAAATCATTTTTTTTTTTTAAATGCATCGCTCGATTGACTCCTAACTTATCATTTCCATCCAAAGCTGGACAGGCGACTTGCCCGCATTAGCAGGGCAAGAGTAGAGGGGCAAGGTTGTGCACGTTCACAACTGTAGCCCTGCAACCTTTAAAAACAAATCATGAAAAATAATAACAAAAGTGTTTAATATAATTGTGGGGCCCTCCAAGGCATAGGGTATAACCCTAAGGGCTGGTCATGTAAAAAGAAGAAAATAAAAGGTTTTAGAATTACTTCTGTCCATATTAAATATAGACGGCTACTCCAAGCCCCTTGACCACTTCAGTGTTTTGATGTGGTTTTGGTGTTGGGAGTTTGTGTCAGCATTTCTCTATGAAACGCTGCATATACAGAGATCCTACTAGAGGTGTAACTCCACCTCCGCAAGCGCCATTAGGGTGTCATTAGCCTGCCCAAAATGAGAGTTCCGGGCTTACTAATGTAAATTCTTTACATATAGACTATCTTTCATTAGCACGCAGAACAACCAGTTCTGCTCTACATGCCACCCAAGTCCTCTCCTCAGCCTTTCCTCCCCAACATTCCTCTCCCTCCAGTAAGGGGGAGTGATGTCACCAAAGGAGGATCTGTCAGTTGGGAGAACTTTGCCTCGCTGGTAAGCAAATTAACACAGTAATGGTTACTTGGACCAAAACCAGTATTTTATTAAAATACAGTTTCCCCCTGTACAACTTGGGAAGGGGGAACATGACTGCTGCCCATGTATGGTGGGCTGGTCTAAATTGGATATTTTGTTGCAAAGAAAAGGGATTTGGGGAGAGAAGTGGGGAGAAGACTTAGCAGTCAGCAGAGACACTGGAGGGAACCTGGTTAAAATTCACACCCACCCTCCCCCTGGTTATGGAAGTGTTGGTGTTTTTGTTGGTGTCTTGCTGTTCTGTCTTTCTTGTTTTGTCACAGCTTGGCGGGATCCCTGGACAGCGCAACTGGGAATGAAGGAGAAAGACTCATAGTCGAGTTGGGAAGACGACAGACCACACAAGGGCTGATGGCAAGTGGCGGCTGTTGAGGCTCTTGGGAAAAAGAGGTGGAGAGGTGGAGAACTGTATGTTGGGTTAACCACCCAACAGCTGACAGGTTATGGTTATTTGAATTTAATTGAAGTTAATAAAGCTGTGACTGTTGCCCTTATCCACAAGAAAAGTGTGTGGTGTCTTATTGGGAGGACAACGGGAGAAAGGAGTATGGGTCAGCAGTCATGTTTTTAGGTTGGAGTGACCCTTTAACAACTGCTTTTCTGGCAGAGACATTAATTCCTTATTCATGAGATGCCAGGAAGAATGTAGAGATGCTCTCTAAGAGCAGGATACAGCATGTGACCGGATACCAGTTTGGGTAGTGCAGGTTTAACCTGTCTTCTAACCATGTCATCAGTAAAAGACTGACAGACTGACTCACCATGTTTATTAGGGGATGTAGACAAGTGTAATCAGTCTAAATTACATCATTTCACATGACTGCTACCTTGGTCAAAAGTATCTATGCAACTGATACAAGTCATGTAATCCTATTGATATCAAATAATTAGTGCTATTAGTTATGCTTATTCTACATCTCATTCACAGCAAGTAAAAGGGAACATTCCAGGGTCCTTAAGTACAGTGTGTTATAGCTGCAACTCTCTGTGAACGCCTTTTAGCCATCACCTCCAAATTTCCCCTGCTACCTCTTGACTCGAATCCCCACGGTATCCTTTAGATTGTAAGGTCACGGGCTATCTAGCTAAGCACTTTGTATGAAAGAGCTTCAATGGCTAGATATCAGCTTATGGGCAGGGCCCTCTCTACCTTTTGTATTTGTCTGTATATATTGTACGTCCTCCACTAATTGTACAGCGCCGCAGAATCTGTTGGCGCTTTATAAATACCAGTAATAAATAAATAAAAAATAGAAATTATGGGACCTGGAGGGCCCACCCCTAATTTATGTAGTCAAACCGTTTCTGCAAAACGGCAGTGTTTTACCTTGAATGGTTAAATCGACAGGGCAACTGCACCCTGAGGAAGTTGCCAGGTGAATTTAGTGGTCCTTTAATATACAATTTAAAGAAAACAGAACATTACATGACAAAAAGTGGTTTCTACTTTTGTTTTTTTTAAATCCAGAAAAGTTACACTTCCTCTTCAAAGAGACACTATAGTCACCAGAACCACTACAGCTTAATGTAGTGGTTCTGGGTTATATAGCCTGTCTCTGCAGGCTCAGCAGAGTACACCATGGTGACGTCAGTGGTCTTACTTGTTTCAATATCCAATATAGGAGACTGCACTCCATTCATCCAATTACTTAGATACATGAATGTCTTGAAAAAGTCCTGCGGGATGAAGCACTTACATACAGACGCTCTAGACATCTCATAGATTGTATGCTTGTTTGAGCAGTGCCTTCGTCACCTCTTATCTTTATGTTCCGTATCTTAACTACTTGTTAAATATTCCCATTTTATAAACTGTAAAGCTCTGCGGAATATGTTGGCTCTATATAAATGATAATAATAAGTCATTCCTGCACAGGGGCTGTTTGTGATAGAGCGCACGTTTTAACTGGAGAACATTGTTTACATGATTGCCTGCTTGTTTGTGCACTTATACTGGCAGAGAAGCTCTTTACCATTCTTTAATGCATGAGGAGGTGCAAATCCATTTAGGAAAGCACTGATTCAATGCTTTTCTGTGGGGAAGGCCTAATACGCGTGCAGAACTTGCTGTGCATAAAGTTCCCTCCATCGACAGTCTGCGAAAAGATCTCGGCTCAGGTAAATGTAAAGAGGGGTTTTAACCCTTTATTTGCCATCAAGGTTGGGTGCAAAGTGACACTATAGTGGTAGAGACACAATGAAGTGGTCTGGTTACCACTAGAGATGTCGCGAACCGTCCGCGAACTTCCCGCGAACGGTTCGCCACGAACCGTTCGTGGCGAACTCCGGTCAGCTGACACATCCCTGCCAATCTCCAGCAGACCCTCCCTCCCAGACCCTCCTACTTCCTGGACAGCATCCATGTTGAAGGCAGCTTCAACATGGATGCTGTCCAGGAGGTGGGAGGGTCTGCCAGAGATTGGCAGGGATGTGTCAGCTGACCGGAGTTCACCACGAACAGTTCGTGGCGAACCGTGGCAAACAGTTCCCCGGGAAGTTCGCGGCATCTCTAGTTACCACATGTCCCCTGTTTTAAACCTGAAACCACAATGCTTTCATTGTTTGGTTAACCTGCTTCTAGTGGCTGTCAGTATGACCGACACTAGAGGAATTTCTGTAAAATAACAGAGTAAAATTCTGCTCTGCACTAAAGTGGTCTGTGACCCTTCACGTAAAAAAACTCTTAACCCTGGCAGCGCTTGGCCCAGTCATCTAAACAATATCGTGTTAGGAATACACATTTGCATTCATAACACTATAGTGCTTATTTAAAACAACTGATATTAGAGAAGGGCATGGTATGTAAAATTATTTTTAGATTTTTTTTTTTCCCCGTAATTTATTTTATTTTTTTTATTATTATTATAACCAGCACAATGCTACATTTAAGAAGCCTTGGTTCATAAGGGGTTAAGGAACGCTTTCTGAACAGCGCCACCTATTGAACGTGTAATCCCAGCGCATTAGCTGCGTCACCACGTGCTCCCTCTACTGACGCCCATCATGTCATTTTAAGTACGTCATTTCTGCAGCGTTATGGGGCGTGGTCAGACTTCACCCCGCCCGGATCCCTTGTTCTACCCGTCAGCCAATCGCCGCGCAGTTCGAAGCCGGGGTGTGACTGACAGCATTTGTGTTTTTTTTTTTTTTTATCCCAGCATGCCCCGCGGGGCGGTTTGAATGGCGGCTACACTGTGAGGGGAGTGAGAGTAGCGCTGTACTGAGGGTCTGAGCGGAGCCGGTGGCTGGATTAGTGTGCTGTACCCCGCGGCGGGGCCATGAGCCGGTAAGGAGCCTGGCTGGGGGTTCGTAGCCCGCTGCCCGGCCTGTGTGAAGCGCTCTGTAGAGTTGGGCTGGGTAGGCCGAGTGGGAACTGCCCATTGCAGAGCATTGTGTTTACATCCTGTATACAGGAACCTGGCAGCAGCCCTGCACATCCTCATAGACATCATAGACACTGTATTCAATGCTCTGTCTGTATACAGGAACCTGGCAGCAACCCTGCACATCCTCATAGACACTGTATTCACTGCTCTATCTGTATACAGGAACCTGGCAGCAGCCAAGCACATCCTCATAGACATCATAGACACTGCATTCACTGCTCTGTCTGTATACAGGAACCTGGCAGCAACCCTGCACATCCTCCTAGCCATCATAGACACTGTATTCACTGCCCTGTCTGTATACAGGAACCTGGCAGCAGCCAAGCACATCCTCATAGACATCATAGACACTGTATTCACTGCCCTGTCTGTATACAGGAACCTGGCAGCAGCCCTGCACATCCTCATAGACACTGTATTCACTGCCCTGTCTGTATACAGGAACCTGGCAGCAACCAAGCACATCCTCCTAGCCATCATAGACACTATATTCACTGCTCTATCTGTATACAGGAACCTGGCAGCAACCCTGCACATCCTCATAGACACTTTATTCACCTCTCTATCTATATACAGGAACCTGGCAGAAGCCATACATATCCTCATAGTCACGGTATTCACTGCTCTGTCTGTATACAGTTTATACTGAGCCAGTACCAGCCATGCACATCCTCATAGTTGTCATAGACACTGTATTCACTGCTCTGTCTGTATACAGGAACCTGGAAACAGCCATACACATCCTCATAGACCCTGTATTCACTGCTCTATCTGTATACAGTATATACAGAGCCGGTACCAGCCCTGCACATCCTCATAGTCATCATAGACACTGTATTCACTGCTCTGTCTGTATACAGGAACCTGGCAGCAGCCCTGCACATCCTCATAGACACTGTATTCACTGCCCTGTCTGTATACAGGAACCTGGCAGCAGCCCTGCACATCCTCATAGACACTGTATTCACTGCTCTATCTGTATACAGGAACCTGGCAGCAGCCAAGCACATCCTCATAGACATCATAGACACTGCATTCACTGCTCTGTCTGTATACAGGAACCTGGCAGCAACCCTGCACATCCTCCTAGCCATCATAGACACTGTATTCACTGCCCTGTCTGTATACAGGAACCTGGCAGCAGCCCTGCACATCCTCATAGACACTGTATTCACTGCCCTGTCTGTATACAGGAACCTGGCAGCAACCAAGCACATCCTCCTAGCCATCATAGACACTATATTCACTGCTCTATCTGTATACAGGAACCTGGCAGCAACCCTGCACATCCTCATAGACACTTTATTCACCTCTCTATCTATATACAGGAACCTGGCAGAAGCCATACATATCCTCATAGTCACGGTATTCACTGCTCTGTCTGTATACAGTTTATACTGAGCCAGTACCAGCCATGCACATCCTCATAGTTGTCATAGACACTGTATTCACTGCTCTGTCTGTATACAGGAACCTGGAAACAGCCATACACATCCTCATAGACCCTGTATTCACTGCTCTATCTGTATACAGTATATACAGAGCCGGTACCAGCCCTGCACATCCTCATAGTCATCATAGACACTGTATTCACTGCTCTGTCTGTATACATTAAATACTGAGCGAGTGCCAGCCATGCACATCCTCATGGACACTGTATTCACTGCTCTATCTGTATGCAGGATATACTGAGCCAGTACCAGCCATGCACAACCTCATAGACATCACAGACACGGTATTCATTGCTCTATCTGTATACATTATACTGAGCTGGTACCAGCCACGCATATCCTCATAGTCATCATAGACACTGTATTCACTGCTCTATCGGTATACAGTATATACTGAGCCAGTACCAGCCCTGCACATCCTCATAGTCACTGTATTCACTGCTCTATGGTCTGCGCTATCGGTATACATTATATACTGAGTGACTACGAGCCCTGCACATCCTCATAGACACTGTATTCACTGCTCTGTCTGTATACAGGAACCTTGCAGCAGCCATGCACATCCTCATAGACACTGTATTCACTGCTCTATGGCCTGCGCTATCTGTATACATTATATACTGAGTGAGTACCAGCCCTGCAAATCCTCATAGACAGTGTATTCACTGCTCTATCTGTATACGTTGTATACTCAGCAGGTACCTGGCAGAAGCCCTGCACATCCTTCTAGTCACTGCTTTAGTAACTTGTCTACCTGTATATATGGTTTGCTGAGTCAGTACTAGGAGCTGCAATAAGTAACAGCCCTTCATATCCTCATATTCACTGCTCTGTGTACTTCTGTCTGTACGTTGTATACAGAGCCAGTACTAGATGCTGCTTTAAAATTATGTTTTTGCTTTGATAATTTTTTTTTTTTCCTGTAAAGGTATTTTAAGGAATGTATGTAATTAATTACATGAAGGTTTATACACTAAAGGATTCTTTAAGAATTGTTTTCTAGTTTCTATTTTGGAATTAAAGCGTAGTAACTTTATCTTAATAGTTTATTCTTAACTGAATAACTATTAATGTTACACAGTCGCTTAAAAAAGAAGAAACAAGAAATTATATATATTCATATGTGTGTGTGGTTGCAGCCTGACTAATTTAACTTCAATTTTAAAGCAGAATTGTCACTTCCAGTGAAGGCTGAATAGCAGACACAAAGAATTACCAATGCTGTCAGTATTTTCTGAAATGCACTTCTATTCCTGGAACTGTCAGTATCTGTATTTGCAAGCTGATTGTAACATGCATGTTGAGATCTGATCTTTATAGCCTATTAAGACAGTTGTTCTTCATCTTGGGACAGTTTTGTTTTGTAACTGTGTCAGTACGTCGTTCCTTGTGGCAAACCTAGCCACTTCAGATTATGCGGTTATATGTCTAAGGGTTGTCCTAGAAAAGCTGGTCAAATTCTGTGAGTTTATGTATTCCCTTATAACTGTAATAGAGGGCATTCGTATGCTAGCTACACGAAAGCCGCTAGCATCCATATGGTAGTTTCACGAACAGTGACTTTCAACACTGTTCGTGAAACGAACAAAGTACTGAATGGGAGCCCACACACAGTGTGGCTCCCATTAACCGATTGCAACATTGTATCAATCGGCTGCTAATTGATTCCCAGGGTGGCCGTCATTCGGATACCGACCACGCGGCGGCGGCCATCTTTGATTCCCTTTTAGCTCAGCGGTGTTTGGTCGTCGAGTGCCTGGAACTAAAATTGGCTACTCGATGGTGCGAACACCCCTGGACTTCCAGGCCGCTCAGGCGCGCAGGTCTTTCGGTACTTTCTTCCAACCTATGTATTCGTGACTTTTCTGAATAGCTGATGTTAAAATGTATTTTATGCGGCGTTTGGTTAATTGTGCTGGGATCTGAGCGGTACTTTCACAAAGTGTGCGCTCAGACCCCAGCTATCTGCCGAACGGTCATTCGGTACAATGGCACGAATAAAATAAAAGTTACAGATTTTTATGTGAAAAGCCGGTTCTGCTGTACGGAGGGATAATTCACTTAACAAGATAATTTTTGTGGGAGTATCCCTCTCGTACAGCAGGGCATGGTGGGAGAAATGTCCTGCATGTTCAGTTCCCCATATAGTCCTCTACTGTATAACCCCTGTAAAGTGGTTAAGGAAACCCCTTGCTTGGGGAACCACATAAATACTGGAGCTTGTGAATAAAATCGTCAGTTGACTCCTAGAACTGTGGTTAGTGAATGCAGCCTCCCTCAGATCGCTCCCAGCTAGCAATCAACTTGAACACAAGAATATACAAAACACAACGAGGGAACCGGCTGATTGTCTAAATGAAGATAAATAAAAAGAGGTATAGTGTAATACAGTTTTAAAATATTAACACTGCGCAATATGAAATGCACTCACAGGATATTGGACAGTTCAGGCATATATGGTGCCACCCCTGATGATATGGGGGGCTAGAGAAATCCCCTGGACACTTCCACTCCAAATGCAGGACTCCAGGTGAAGATATGAAAAAAGCGGCTTTAATTGTTTAAAAATATAAAATAGATACAAATAAAGGTCCTACGCGTTTCGTCCCTTCTACAGAATATGGGACTTCCTCAGGGACCAAAATATTAAAATAACAATCAATGCAGTACAATCACAAAAACACCAGTGGAGTCCTGCATTTGGAGTGGAAGAGTGGAAGTGTCCAGGGGATTTCTCTAGCCCCCCATATCATCAGGGGTGGCACCATATATGCCTGAACTGTCCAATATCCTGTGAGTGCATTTCATATTGCGCAGTGTTAATATTTTAAAACTGTATTACACTATACCTCTTTTTATTTATCTTCATTTAGACAATCAGCCGGTTCCCTCGTTGTGTTTTGTAGACTCCTAGAACTGTGTTTCGTCCGGTTACTGTGGGGATTTGTGATATTGCCTTCCTTTTCAGCGCTTTCCTTGGATTACCTTCTTTTTCCAGCGGAGATATTGGGATTTAATATTGCAGCTCCGCTACATTCCTCCCTAATAGTTTATAGGGTTACTCCAAGCATCGTGATCAAGGTGCCTTAAGTTTGTATGCACAGCATTTTGCTGAAACGCAACAGTGCTGATATGGAGATTAACTTCTCTGATGTCAGAGGTGTAAGGAACTTCCAGTGTGGCTAATGTAAATTCTGCACATATTTGTACACACAGAGTTGCTGTCAGCTATTGCTCTCGGTCAGTGTATGTCCGGTATGATCCGCATTCGGCTTCTGAAACTCTGCAGAAGCTGCGTGCATGTAACTGGCCATTGAGGACCGTCAACAACCAGCTGAGCCGTATGTAAGAACATATTTTTACAAAAGTTTGCCCCATTACTGGCAAACAAGACCAGGGTACTCCTGGCAGCATAACCACCTCAGCAGGCTGTAGTGTTTATGATGCTTGGAGTAACCCTTTAAGGATGTAAGCACTATACTGTGAATTATGCAAACTGAAAATTGTGAAACTTGGACCAAAATAGTTGACTTGGAAAAATCATAGCTAAGCAGCGTGTTGAATATGCAGTTTTTGTTTTGTTTTCTGCCTTGGTATATATTATTAGATAATTCCCTTCATTGTGTAACTTGTTGCAGCTTTGATATTATCACTATTAAATTAGCACTATCCCATTCTTTGAATTTTTTTTTTTGCATTCTTCATTAGAAAAACCCATGAAGACTTTGCTTGAATTACATATACAAATACTTTTTTTCTTGTGGAAGTGACAGTATTGTCATTCTGGGGTCAAGTACTTAAAAAATATATGATGCAAAGACCCTAATTCCACTTTAAGCAGTTTAGTTGAGCACATTTGGACATGGCTCTCGGAGTGATCCCTTCTGTTTTGAGAGGTAATTCTGGCTGGAATTGACCCTTTTTGTTTTAAATGCATTTAGAAAACGTATACCATAATTGCCCATATTTTCGTTTCCCTAATCTAGGCCATGGCAGCACTACAGATGGGAATAGCTCCTCCCACTTCTCAGTTGGACAGGAACACCTTCTAAATAAACCATACAAGCATGGTATACATTTTCTGTTTTTCCAGATATATCCATGGCAGCACTAGAGATGGGTTATACCCAAGCTGAAAGGTACAAGGGAGGGAAAGGAAAACAAAACATCAATATTAATGCAAAGGAAAACCTTTTATTTACAAAATTCACCATAAGGAAGAAAAAAAGAACACTTCTGCCAAATTATGAGGTAGAAGACCTGGCTACATCCAGCTGATAATGATGGAGGAAGGTGTTAAATGAGGACCAGGTTACTGCTGAACAAATGTGGCCAGGAGAAATATTGGGCCAGCGGTCTGGTGGAATGAGCTTGAGGACCTGATGGAACTGGAACACCAGTAGATTCGTAAGCTTGAGTAATCACTGAGCTTATCCACCGGCCAATAGAAGAAGTAGAGGCAGCTTGACCCATCTTGTATCTTGAATGAATGAACAAAGTATGACTCAATCTTCTTGTAGGAAAGGGGGATTTGCATGAAAGAGCCTTAATCTCTGAGATCCTGGTTCCTGAAGTAGGTGCCACCAGTAGGACAATTTTGACAGTCAAAGTTAAGAGGAAGTTCGAATGGAGTACCAGACAATGCTTGTAACACGTGTCAAGTCCCATGGAGGAGAGTGGACTTCATTGGAGGGTGGAGTTTTAGGACCGCTTGAAAAGAATCTGCCAATATCTGAATCAAATGCCAGCTTCTGATCTAAAAAAGCAGAGAGAGATGCAATCTGCATTTTCAAGGAAATGAGGCTAAGACAACTTTTGAATCCATCTAGACTTAAAGAATATTACTGGGGGATTGAGGCGGGATCTCATGGACAACTCACTAGTTACTGAAAATGCCTTGTATGCATTGAGTAAGGGGTCGCTTACTAATGCAGAGAAGCCTTTCTTTGAGAAGCATTGCCTTTCAATTTCCATATCAGTTTCATTGAATGTGGTGCAGTACACCGGGCCCTGGTGTAGTAGATGATAATGGCATGACAGATTCATAGGGAAGTTTTGCTTTAGAAACGGAAACTGGAGAAGAGCTTGAAATACTGCTTGTAAATCCAAGACATTTGAGGATTAATGAAATAGTTTGTTTTCATAGACTTTGGATGTGTTGAGAGCCCAGGTATGCTCCCCAACCGTTGACAAGCATCTGTTGTCAAAGTGACCCTATGAATGTTGCTCAGAGGGAATCCTCAATACAAGTTCTGATCGACCGCCACCATGAGAGTTCCTTCTTGACTCTGGTTGATATAATATTACTTGTTTTAGTTCTTTGCTTGTGTACTGGGAAAGAAACTTTGATAAATATTTATATGCCATTGGCCCACCTTGTAAGAACTATTGTTGAGGACAAACATCCTAGAAGGCTCATGAATTCCCTTGCTGGAACTGATCTGTGAGAAAAAGTTTTTATGTTCGACTGTATCCTTTTGTCTTCTGTCTGTGGATAGGGATACTTGTGGCTTTCTTGTCGGATCTTGCTCCCAAGTACATCATTATCTGTGATGGGGAAAGCTGGCTCTTGAAGTTGATAATCCAACCAAACTTCTGGAGGAGAAGATGAAATCAATCTTGAATTTTTTTAAACACAGCTTTGGGTTTAGCTTGTGTAGAGCCAGTACTGGTCTCCATTTTTCTGATGCTTTTGCTGTCCAAAAAGGCCTTCTTGAGGAACCAGACAAATAACACCTTCTGCTGAAAGGCAAGTTATGAAAGAATGAAGAGCTTCTGCCTTCTCTGGTTCTGGTGGTATCTTTTGACAAAAATCAAGGTTGAGGTGTGGACAATTCCATTAAATAACCGCTCTTTAAAATCTTTAGGACCCAATTGTCTTAAATTGATTGAGCCCAGACATTGAAGAAATTTAGAAGTCTTGCTCCCACTCCATCAACTGGACTGGCATCCCATCCGCATTGCTCGCCATCTAGTATTTCTTGAGCAAGAAAAACCTCCCTTCCATCAAGTTGGAGAACTCTTTACTGTGCTTGTAACGTCTGTACGCCTAATCAATAAAGGAATGTGTCTCTTTGGAAAGGATCTCTTTGTTTGTCTTGCGAAAGAAAAGCTTTGTCCTACAGCTCTTTTTATACATTCGTCCAAATGCTTGCCGAAAAGCATATCTCCTTGAAAGGGCTGGGTGCTATTTTTAGAGGACGAATCTGCCACCTAATTCCATAACCAAAGAGCACATCTTGATACTACTGAAAGAACCATGCACCTTGAGCTGGACTTAACCAGATCTATAGAAGCATCAAATGAGAAATCAACAGCCAGCTTAAATTTGAATAGAGACCCTATTTTCGGGATTCTTCCATTCCTCTTTAATCATGTCTCCAGTGGCTTCATGCAGAGGGAAAGTAGGATTGCGCTTTCTCAGGTCTGCAAAGTGTTTACTTGAGCCCAGTTGTTACTCCATCTTATCACTGAGATCCAAGGTGTCAGAAACCGCCTTAATTAAAGCTTCAATCTTTCTATTATCCATGAAGACAGATGAAAATTCATCTTCAAGGACCGGAAGCATCTCTTCATCTAAACTGAAGTCAAAATTCCATTCAGGATCTGTATCTTTTCTTGGCTATTTCTACCTATTCAAGACCTCTGAAACTGGTGAATGTAGGAGAGTAGATCCATACATCAGGCTCTGTGGGACCAGCTGCTGCTTTACGAAATGCCAAGTCTCCTCAGACAACATTTAATCACGGGCTTTACACAAGGGGGTCTTATCCTTCTTTTTATATGAGTAGAACTAAAAATCCAGCTAAAAATCAGACCGGAGAAATGTACTTTTTTTTTTTTTTAAATATGTATTTTAGTAATACATTAAATTAAGTAACTTACTACGAACCTCGTAATTGCGACCTAATTTTTGACAAGTGACCGGGGGACTCTATCTTGAAATGAGCAGCTAGAAAATAGGTTTCTAGCGCCCATGTCCAGTACGAAATACACATTTTAAAATATATTGAAAAACAGAGATTTAGGCGCTCACTAGAATAACAACATAAGAGGCAGAAGTGAATCAGCAGGGCTTCCCAATACCTGCTTGTGGTGACCCAAAGTAGAAAATAAACAAAATGGTGGACCGCGCTAAAGGATACTCAAAGTGGCTATAATAAGATGTTTTATACATACATACATATAAGTAATCCTGACAATGTAGCGGATTGTACGACCCTCAAAAGAGATAGAAACAGAACAAAATAACAGTGTAATATATCAAATAATTTTAGCACACATATGTAAAACCAGATAGAAGACTAACTCACAATTTGCAGAGCTACTAAGAGCTCTGCTGTATAGCGCCTGGACTAATTCCCGTCTAATTATCACCTGGTACTATTAGACCTGAGTAAGCCACAAAAGAAAGGTGCAAAACATCCTATGTCCAAGAGACACGGACAGGAAAATAGACTGAGGGGACAGCGGAGGGAGTCTCTTTTGTTTAAAAAGGATATGTTTCTGTTAAATTGAGAAGTTGGGAGTAGCTATACCCATCTGTAGTGCTGGCATGGATATATCCAGGTAAGAAGTTTAAAAAAGAAATTTTACATCTTGAAATTACTTTTGCAAGAAAACCTAGCAGCACTACCCAGTCCAGGAAGGGAACAGCCATTCAGGATGGGTGTAGTATCTTTACTGCAAATGCTGCCCATATTGCATGAATCCTATTCCTTGCTCTAACGTTTTTCAGAACATAGGTTTCTGTGCTTATCAGCTTTCTCCTTAAAGGAACACCAACGTTGGGAATGCAAACCTGTGGTGTCCTGCTCCCTGCTGTGAGTTTGAATTGTGAGTTTTAAGAAAATGATCGCCCTCGGCGATCTCCATAAAGGTGCTCCAACTCTTTGGCTGAACTAGTCTGTGTAGATGATCTTGGATAATTCAGTGTTTCCACCTTAGGAAAAACATTGGGAGGCTAGTGTGCATGCGCCACAAAACGCACCGATCAAATGGTCTAAAGCCATCTGATTGAAATAACAGAGTTTAACTCTACTGTTTGGGTGGAAGCACCTCTAGTGGTTGTCCGTATGATGGTCTAGACACATTACTAGAGGCATGTAAGCCCTGTAATGGAAAGATAGCAATGACAGCAATGTTTTCAGCTGCTGGGTTAAAACCTCATGGACATGGCACCCAGTCCTTTTTAAAATGGTTTAACATATTGTTTTCCCTCACCGAGACTCTGTGCTTAGGCCTGCTCCACCACCCCGCATTTTTTATTTTTGGAGGCATGGCTTCCTCAGAAGACAGCCATTAAAGCGGTGTTTAACCCCGCAGTGTAAATATTTCCTTTTTTTATTTTTTATAATTCTTTATTTTTCCGAGACAGGTCAGCGTAATACAATACATGCATGACAGTGTTGTCAGATAAAAACATAGATATCCCCACGTACAGCAACAGCATAAGTCAACTCCTTATCGGTGTAGTCCATCAGAGGGCTACACTGCGATTAACGACTGGACATAGCTTGCTCTACATCTCGTCATACTATATACTTTGTATCGACTTTATAGTGCTTATCCCGTCTTGGTGTTTTTAAATTCTGTATTTTTGTATTGATGTGCTAGAATGCGAGTAGTCGTCCGCTGTTACATTCGATAAATAACAGTTAACATATATATCTTTGTCAAATAAAGCTTAACTTAACTAGTGATACGTGAATATCAATTGTCATATCTAATTTGTGGTTTTATAATCTGTTCCCGCTTTTTACTTTAGTTATCTTATGATAGTCACTATTTCACTCTATCATCAGAGTCTGCCTGCATTGGTGTTATGAGTAGTAGGTAACTGCACCCAATTCTTATGTTCCACGTTTGTGATATAGGACTGTCACTCAGAATGCCTTATGGTAGTCAATACTTTGATTTTCATGGAACATTAGAGCGTGATCAGAAAGAGTGAGAAAGAGAAAAAATTTAAAGATTTGGAAAGATAGAGATTGGGCGGAGAGTAAATAGTTAGTCATTCGGATCGTGTTCGTATTTAACTTCCTAAAATTGAGTTTTCCCATGGTTCCCAGATCTTCTGAAAAGCTTTTTGGGTGCCCCGTATCCTAGCCTTTAGGTTGTCCATCAAGTGGACCTCTTTTATCCTATTTATCACCCCTGCTATGGATGGTGTGCCTGGTTGAAGCCACTCTGAGGCTACTGCTCTCCTAGCCGCTAATGTAATTTTGTGGATGAGCTTTTGCTCATGCCTAGTCCATCCATCTATGGATCTGCTTAATAAGAATAGCCATGGATTTAGGTCTGGAGCTCTAGAGAAGACCTGTGACAATAGGGCCTGTATCCGGTTCCAAAATATAACCCATCTGTGGGCATTCCCACCACATGTGGATGTATGTCCCCCTCAGACCGCAACCCCTCCAGCACACGTCCGTTGGAGTTTTTCATTTGATGTAATTTAACTGGTGTAGTATACCAGCGAAGCATAGTTTTTACAGATTGTTCCTGAAAGGGTAACGCACACGGATGAGATATGGTTAGCCTCCCAGATCTCTTGCCACTCTATGCCTTCCAGTATTTCCCCTAAATCTCTCTCCAATTGATCCGTGTAAGCTAGCTTCTGAACAGAGGTGGACATACATGAGCATTATCATGCCTTTAGGTATAGTTTCTTGAAGGCAAATGCGTTCAAAAAAACGTCTGTTGCCGGGCCGCCATTTTTACGTGTGCTAATTGTGCATAATCTTTAAATTGTATGTATCTAAAGAAGTCTGAGGGGGCTAGGTGGCCCCGCTGTTGTAATGTATCAAAGGGGATGACCTCTGTTCCCTGGTATAGTTGGCAGATGCATTGTAACCCTATTTGTTTTACGTTTTTGAAGTCTCTTGCGGTCATTCTGGGAGTAAAGGCATTATTGCGTAGGTATGGTATTAGGGGAGACTGGTCAGATGCTAAGTGAAATTTTTGTTTAAGGGAGTCCCACATCCTCAAGGAGTCGCTGTGTAATATATATTTGGGAGGCCTAGTTCCCCTCTCGTCTTTGGTCTATATAAAATGTATCTGGAGATTCTGTACTTTTTGTTCTGCCATACGAAGGACCCTATCGCCCTCTGCAGAGGTTGTAATGACGATTTGGGCACGGGGATGGGCAGCGCCTGAAACAAAAACAGAATTCTAGGCAAAATATTAATTTTAACAGCGTGAATTGTTCCTATCCACGAAATTGGCCTGTCCACCCATGTCTCAATCTCTCGTGTCAGCTGTTTCAGCAATTGTGTGTAATTTTGGTTTTGCTGTCAGCTGAATGCCTAAATATTTGAGTGCCTGTTGTTCTATTCGTATTTGGTGGGTGTCGTGTGTTCGGGTTGTTGCTGTCGCTGGTACTCCTATTGGGAGGGCGTTAGACTTCGCCATGTTTGCTTTGTACCCTGAAATGGTCCCAAAGTCCCTTAACACCCCCTGTAAGGCCCCCGTTGTGTTCACTGGGTCAGTCAGCATTAAGAGCACATCATCCGCATAGGCTGAGACCAGAAATTCCTTACCTCCCACTTCAATACCCTTCACGCCCGGATGGCGCTGTAACGCCTGTAAAAGGGGTTCCAACGATAGTACAAATAGAAGGGGCACCCCTGTCTAGTACCATTGAAAAGGGCGGAGCGGGGCTCCTGAGATCTTCACCTGCACTCTGGCGTTACTATACATCGCTCTTAATAAGGTCATGAACTGTTCAGGGAACCCTAGATGGGTCAGGAGCGTGAACAGGTATGGCCACTTCACTCTATCAAACGCTTTTTCAGCGTCGAGCGAAATGAACATAGTTGGAGTCTTCGTGGCCAACTGTCTCCATATCAAGTCTATATTTCTGTGAGTGTTTTCGAACAGACAATATAAAACCAACTTGATCTGCGTCCATAAATTTCGCTAGGAAGGGGTTGAGCCGTTCTGCCTGTATCTTTGCCAAAATTTTCATATCGCGATTTATGAGAGATATTGGCCTATAACTGTCTGGTGAAAGGGGGTCTTTATCTGGTTTTGGCAATAACACAATGGTAGCTATGGACATATCAGGGTTCGGGGAGCCCCCTGTCCGAAACCCACTGAAGACTGTTGTCAAGTGAGGAACGAGTTCCTCGCGGAACGTCTTGTAGAAACTACCGTCAAATCCATCAGGTCCTGGGGCCTTGTTCCCTTTTAAAGCTGTTATTGACCGGTCTATTTCGTCAGGTGTAATTTCAGCCGCTAGGGTATCAACCGCCTCTTGTGGTAACTTGGGTAGGCCGAGGTCTTTAAGGAAATTGCAGGTTGCATCATCGTCTCTTATCGTCATTGTTTCTGTGCTTGGGGAATGATTGTATAGGCATTTATAGTAATCAGTGAAGACCTCTGCTATGTCATCGGGCATAGTTTTGATCGATTTTGTCTGGATGTCGGATGGATGTAATGTGTCCTCGTCTCATTCTCGGTTTGAGGACTCTGGCTAGTAAGGTATTCATCTTATTGGCCCGTTCGTAAAAAAGTATTTTGAACCAAGTCATGGCTCTAGCAGTAATATTTCCATTTCTACAGTACACATGCACGGAGAGGATTTTTCTGTGACATTTCATTTACACTTGTAACATCAGGGGAAGAAACAAAGATGCTCATAACTTCTAATCCACCTGTAATCCCTATTCTTTGTGGATTTTCCTTCTGCTTTAAATGGCCCACGATCACTGAACTCTGAGTTCCTATATCAATTTATATGTCCACCTGGCATGGGGTAAAAAAATATAAATATATTTTTTGTTAATTTTCTCTACTTTACTCCATAGGGAATTACTATTCCATTTATACATGCTTTTGGCAAATTCATGAATTCAGTTTGTAGCAAATTCACGAATTCAACTCTCACAATAACATAGGACACTTGGAAATGTATCCTGGTATTTACTCAAACATGGCAACTGGAGTAAGTCCTGGGTTACACTGACACCCGGGAGATTGGTGCAGTTTGTGGCTGCTCCCTCATACTAGTACACTGTAACTAGTTTTGCCATGACCATGGCAGAGCACCAGTATCCTATTGGCACTATAACCACTTTAGTAAACTATAGTGCCTGGAGTGGCCCTTGGGATTCAACTTGGTGCCAATACCCAGATAATATGCACTTCCCACTCTTTTATGTATACCTACTGTTTGTTATGAGTTTTATAATGCGTTTTTCATCCATCAGGGCATTTTACTTTTTTGTGTGTTAAAACTATTCTAGATCTTATAACATTAAAGGGCACTTTGTGTCCATCTTGTATTACTCTAGTCAGTTGGCAGTGTTTTAATCGAATAATTGATGTGCATCCAAGTCCTATTAAGAAGCCTGCACATTGTTCTATAAAGGCTACAGATTACATAATTTTCAGACATTAACATGCTATATGAAGTATTTACTGGTAAACCTACCCCATGTTCAGAAGACTGACTGTCCATGACCAGTGACATATTGGAACTCTCAACATCTCTCATGAATGTCAAGTTTAAAGGAAGCAAACATTTTTGATTGATTTGCAATACATAGTAGGAAAGTTGTCATTTGCAACTGAATGTAATAGACATATTTCTACTTATGCAATGGAACTAGGATCTCTACATATAATTCTAGTGGCAAACCAGTCTTTGTTTTACTTAGTTTGTGGTATTCTCTGATCACTGGCAAATTTCATAAATGCCTGTTAAAGGGATAGTGACAAAAAATAAATCCTTGCAAAACCTTTAGGTAGTTTGGCATCCAAGAGCAATTCATTTTAAAGGGGAAGAAAAGTCTAGGGCCATTTGGGATGCAGTACGTTTAAGTAAGATGAAAAAAGTACAAAGCTACATTAGCGATGTTGTAAAGAGTTGTTTACTGGAGCAAAGTGGTTATGCTGGCTATACAGGTATGACTCCTAGAAAAGACCTCTTTCATTGTCTGGGATCTGGTGTAATAAACAAGTGTCACAGCTGGTCTGTTTGTCTATTATACACAGATTGCACATAAAATCCATTGCAATGTTTTCAGTAAACTAGGAATTCCAGATAAATAACTACCGGTAATTACCAATTTTAAGGTGGTACTAATACATGTGCGGTTTTACACAACTATGTAGGTAGCAAAAAATATCTATTCATATTTTTCATTTCTTTTTAAACCCATCGCATGTTTATATTTTTATCCCTTGTATTTTGTATCAGGGCGTCATGTAAATTGGATTTATCCCCTTTAGTTCCATACATACAGTTCATGCGGGGGAAGGAGAACCTCTATGCTTCTTTACTGGATGATTATTTACTTGCCTAAAATAAATACTCTTTATAATTTTTGCACAGGTCCTTGTCAGATTTCCCTATTTAAAGGCTTGATTGCTTGCTCATTGTTTTCATAATTGGGAAGGGAATTTTATTTAGAGGGACACAATAGATAGACATAGACAAAAAAACTTGAATTCTAATCTAGGAGATCTGATTTGATACCATAAACACCTGTTTATCAGAGCTATGGGATAAGTAGTTAATCAACAAACTGCATTTCTGCTTATGAAATGGGGTACATGAAATAGTTTTAATAACGTGATAGCAACCCTACTTTAGCCTTGGCCGCTGTCCCACTTCTAATTTATATAAAAGGAACACTTCAAGTAGCATAACCACTACAGTGTGATTTGTATTGGTCTTTTTCAAGATTTGCTCACATCAGGTTTACAAAATACATATTATGGGGGCCGACAGTCCTACCTCTTGGGTCTTTGTACATGTTGTGGGCGACATACACATTTGAATTCAGAGATTTACACTTTCAGGGTGGAATCATTACCTATCAAGTGATAACTTTTTTGGACTTTTCGAGCTAGGTTGATGGAACTCGCTACCTGGGGCTTGCGCTGTGTCGCAAGTACTCACCTTGTGAGCTCCTCCTATGAGATGCAGATCACGCAAACTGCAAGACATCAGATATTTGTTTCTCCAGCCTGCTCCCTCAAAGCCAAGGCTGCCAGTCAAGGCTTACCCTTCCTCTGAGGACAGTGACACAGGAATGGTGTAAACACGGGTGACCGCAACACCTGCTGGAGACAGATCTTCTGCAGAGGATGACAACCTGTCTATGAAGAAATACATAAAAAGACCTGCTTCAAGACGTTAAAATAAAAATAAATAACAAGCTTTCTACAAGTGGTCAACTATTACTCCATTCTATCACAAGTAGAGTAAAAACCTCTGAGGAGCATATAACAGACATACACTGGAGCATAACTAATGCCACAGAGATGAAGCGGCTGCAGACGACCCAGATGGCTTTGTCACAAGGTGGAGATGTTGGATTATCTGAGTAAAGCGAGGAATTTCAAAATCCATAGTGTAGCACACTGTTGGCTAAATAACTGCCTCACTTCTAAGGCGCCTTCTTTATCTTGTGTTTTTGATGATAGAAAATGCACTCTAGAACCTAGATGGTTAACAAAAGACAAGAGAAGGAACACTGCCTTTAAAAATACTGTAAAACGTAACTTTTAATAGTGAATGAAATACAAAGTGATCATTTCATACATTTTCTCTCAATACGTCTAAATACATATGTATAGAGGCATGAGAAGACAATATGCAGAAATGTAAGATTTAAAAAAAAAAAACCCAGCATCTAAATAGTTAGGGATGCTGTTTTAAATGTCTAAATGGACCAAAATGTCCAGCTCTATACAGAGATTCACTGCTGTAATAGTTTGTCTCCTGTCACTATTTGTAAAGCGTATTCTCTAAAAGTTTGTCAAACTCTAAAATAGAGACTGTCTACAGCTGCAGTTTATAAAGAGTACTCTGTTACAATTTAGTATAAATACAGGTTCGAAATTATGTGACAAAACGAAGATATATTGTCTGGTATTACTATTAGATACAGACTGTAGTCTAGGTATATATCTAAGAAAGCGCCTTCTGTGGGTAGTTTGTCCCAGTGTAAATATAGAAAGAAGAGAGATAAAGATATTGCTGTGCATTCGAGGGCACCTACCAGGTAGAAGGGCTAACTATAGAAAATGAAGAGAGGAAAAAGGAAAATGAGAGTGTAATAACCACAGATAATATATGCGGCTAGATCCTTAATTCACCTCCCAAAATACCCTGAGAGTGGACTAACCACAAGTAATGTATGCGGCTAAGTCCTTAATTTCCCTCCCAAACTACCCAAAAACTATGTATCTATAAATCGAAATAGAAAAGTCCAAAAGTAATTAATAATATCAGGTTATATTACAATTGGTGTATAACTCTAACATAGTTTTTGACTATGTTACACATCTAGGTTGCATATAATCAATAGGTCTAAATTCAACCAATTATTAGAATAGTTTGATTGGTGAGAAATTAATAATAAGTGATATAGATATGTTCATTGGAGGTTAGTCCATAAATTGTGCATAAAGTGTAAAAGATATATTGTCTTATTTATAATTTATATGCTGCAACCTAATAAAACATATCTGTAGTCAGAATATTGTTATGCAGATCCATACTGTACTTGCCCTATAGAAATTTCTATGTGGTAAATATATTGCCTTGTAGTCTACTGTTCACTTTTGTGAATAGGACAAAACATGTCTAAATAAGTGTAAAGTAGAGGACATGTTGTTGCATAAGAATAAAGTAGGGGGCGCTCTCAGCGCTCTCAAGGTATTTTGGGAGGTGAATTAAGGATCTAGCCGCATATATTATCTGTGGTTATTACGCTCTCATTTTCCTTTTTCCTCTCTTCATTTTCTATACTTAGCCCTTCTACCTGGTAGGTGCCCTCGAAGGCACAGCAATATCTTTATCTCTCTTCTTTCTATATTTACACTGGGACAAACTACCCACAGAAGGCGCTTTCTTAGATATATACCTAGACTACAGTCTGTATCTAATAGTAAGACCAGACAATATATCTTCGTTTTGTCACATAATTTCGAACCTGTATTTATACTAAATTGTAACAGAGTACTCTTTATAAACTGCAGCTGTAGACAGTCTCTATTTTAGAGTTTGACAAACTTTTAGAGAATACTCTTTACAAATAGTGACAGGAGACAAACTATTACAGCAGGGAATCTCTGTATAGAGCTGGACATTTTGGTCCATTTAGACATTTAAAACAGCATCCCTAACTATTTAGATGCTGTTTTTTTTTTTTTTTTTTAAATCTTACATTTCTGCATATTGTTTTCTCATGCCTCTATACATATGTATTTAGACGTATTGAGAGAAAATGTATGAAATGATCACTTTGTATTTCATTCACTATTAAAAGTTACGTTTTACAGTATTTTTAAAGGCAGTGTTCCTTCTCCTCTTGTCTTTCAACCAAAATTGCTAGGGTTAACCCCTTCACTGCCCTGATACTTTACCCTCATACCAGGCTTTCTCTTTGTTAAACTTTCTAGATGGTTAACAAAGTCTGCTAGGGGAACCAATTTGTTTCTTCTCTCTTCTGAGCAATGTTTAACCTGTTTGACATCTCAAGGCTTATTCAATCATAACAGGCCTTAGCTCCACTTTCTTAAAGGGACACTATAGTTACCTACAGCTTATTGTATTTTTTTCTGGGGAGTATAATCATTCCCTTCAGGCATTTTGCTGTAAACACAGAGAAAATGCAGGGTTTACATTACAGCTTAGGGATACCTTCACTGGCCACTCCTCAGATGGCTGCTAGAGGTTCTTTCTGGGGCAATGCTACAGAGGGTGAAGTACTGCCATTCAGTGTCTCCACCCTCTGCATGGAGACACTGAACTTTCCTCACATAATGCATTGATTCAATGTATCTCTATAAGGCGATGATGATTATCCAGGGTTGTGTTTGACTTGTGCTGGCTCTGTCCCTGATCTGCCTCCTTGACAGTCTCAGCCAATCCTATGGGGAATCATTGTGATTGGCTCAGACCCACCACGTCTAATGTCAGTCAAGCAGGCAGATCGGGGCAGAAGTCGCAGCTGCATACTTGAATAAAAGTAAGATTTGTACTGTATTTAGGGAGACCACTTCAGCTCACTGCAGCTGTCTTGGTGCTGTGTCCCTGTTGCACTTCGTGCTGCAATGTAAAACAATGCAGTGTTATGGAAACTGCAGTGTCTACATTGCAGCACTGTCTGCCTCCAGTGGCTGTCTACCAGACAGCCACTGGAGTGCTTACTTTTTTTTATAGGAAGCATCAATGCTTTCCTGTGTCGAGGTCTAATGCTCGTGCGGCATTTGCCTGCATTAGCGCCTGCTCATCTTCGTGGGTCGTTGTAGAGGGCAAAGCATTGACATGGCGCAAGGGACATCAGCGCTAGAATAAGTTATGTAAAGGGTTTTAAACCTATTTAAAAGAGAGGGAGCGGGTTGCGAGGGTTAGGGGAGGTAGAGGGAGCTATAGTGCCAGGAATACAGCTTTGTGTAGTGGTTCTGGTGCTTTGTGTCCCTTGCCTAACTTAAACTGAGCTTTTACTCTATAGGGTTACTATTATTGATCCATCAAACTTGAAAGAAATGAACAGCAAGGATGCTTTGTGGGTTTAACCTAGACAAAAACTACGGGGGACTCCGAAATCTTGCAATTTACACAGGCAATTACCATCAAAGTTTGCCATGTGTAAACAATTTAGTAGGGTTATTTCCTGTTTTAATTTCTATTTGTCTGTGGTTTAATTCTATTAAATTTTGCTTTTAAACGGCATGCTTTTAAAATACAGAGTTGATGTCGGGTGGAGTGCAGCCTCCATTTTATATGGTTATGGGAGGTAGTGCAGGAATGTGGATTATCTTCAAAGGGTACTTTGTTTACATAATGCATAAGAAATATTGCTTAGCCTCTGATGTCTGTGTGTAAAGGTTGTTATGGAAATATGATACAGTAAAGCGTATGTATGTAAGCAAGACATTGGGGAGCTGTGTATAGTTGCGAATTTACTTAAAAATAATAAGGTGCGCTGTGTCTTTAAGACCCAAAAATATATAAAGTGCAACTAAGTGCAAACAAATTAATAAAGTGCAAAGTGATACAAAGTGCACTTAAAGTGTAGAATATCAGTATAAAATATTATACATACATATGGCCTCTCAACTCCAAATATACATAGAAAGGAAAAGAGACATAAAAAAACCAATAGTGTAAAACCGTATTAAAACATTAATACGGTTTTACACTATTGTTTTTTTTATGTCTCTTTTCCTTTCTATGTATATTTGGAGTTGAGAGGCCATATGTATGTATAATATTTTATACTGATATTCTACACTTTAAGTGCACTTTGTATCACTTTGCACTTTATTAATTTGTTTGCACTTAGTTGCACTTTATATATTTTTGGGTCTTAAAGACACAGCGCACCTTATTATTTTTAAGTATATTCACTAAAGTGTTTGGAGGAGTTTTACACTTGTTTTTGGTGCAGCTCTTTTTTATATTAACAGGTTGTTTTGTTTTATTTTAGACGATTTTATTACGAGCGCCTACTTTTTACTTGTTTTCTGTGTATATAGTTGAGAATTACCAAAAACTGTTCACTTTTCTATTAATGAATGCATGGTATGTTTGGGCTGCTGCCTGACGAGTGGGCAGCTTTACAGAAAAGCATATAAATTAGAATATAGGATATTTGTAACTACTTCATTTCATGGCAGATGTACACTTGGGAAAACATACACAAAAAAACACAATACATTATATTGTGGATGTGCGTTACTGGGTAACTTGTATACATTATTATGTTTAGGTGCATTTTATATTTAATAAAAATAGATTTTTTGCAAGAGACAATATACAGAGAATAAGTATTGAGGATTCAGACAAGCATATCTAGAAGTATACAATACATAAAACATGAAAACACGTTGGAACATGTCATGTAAAGAAGAGAAAGTGATACTACACCATATTGCTAATTCAAAGTACGTTTGGGAACACCAGCCATGGCTTCAAGAGCTCTGTAATAAAACTTAACATATGTGAGTAATAAAACCACTTGGGTTTACTTTAGCTGTCTGTGGTCGTAAGGACGGTGCAAAGGTGAACTGAATCAGGAAAGCTTTTAAAATACAGCTAGGGATTGCAGGTTCTGACATTTTAGAATATGAGAAGACAATTGCCCTTTACCCACTGACATAGACCCCTTTGAGTCCAGCATAGCCTCATCTGGTTAGATTTCTCGAAACACTGTCTTAATGAAGGTGCTTCTGCCTCACGTGCACAGTGAATAAACTCTGTACGAACAGTGCTTAGAAAACTGCAGTGACTAGATTGAGGCGACTAAACACTCTGTGATATAAGGTTTTTTTTGTTTGTTTTTTAATCAGGCCTGCATTCAACCTGTTGTGACCTACACGGAACACAGCTATGCAATGAAACAGGCAGTCATCAATGTAAGACCAAAAAATATCACTTTGTAATGACAAGGAAGGAGAGAACATAGTTTAAAGACCAAGAGCTTTCCGTTTTCAGTAGCAGTGACATTCAAAATGTATCTGTAATATTTGCATTACTGAAAAGATATTCCACGCAATGCATAAAATCACTGCTTGGCAGCCTTACTGCTACAGGGGAAAGCTGCACAAAAGCCACAGTCAGAATTTCACCTAGTCAATAGTCTTTGAAAATATATATTGTGTATATACTCATGTATAAGTTGATCTCGTCTATAAGTAGAGTGCAGTTTTGTTTCCAACAATTGGGAAATATGCTATGCCTCGTGGATAAGTCGAGGGTAAAACTTGGGGCTATGAAATTCTCCTTTTTTTTTTAATTTTTTTTTTATAATTTTGTCAGATTTTACCTAGGTAAGATCCTGGAACATAATCCTGTATATAATGCAGTGTGTGTATGTATATGTGTGTGTATGTATGTGTGTGTGTGTGTGTGTGTGTGTATATATATATATATATATATATATATATATATATATATATATATATATATATATATATATATATATTATAATGCAGTGTGTGTGTGTATATCTGTATATATATGTGTGTGTGTGTGTATATCAGGCCTGCATTCAACCTGTTGTGACCTACACGGAACACAGCTATGCAATGAAACAGGCAGTCATCAATGTAAGACTAAAAAAATATCACTTTGTAATTACAAGGAAGGAGAGAACATAGTTTAAAGACCAAGAGCTTTCTGTTTTCAGTAGCAATGACATTCAAAATGTATCTGTAATATTTGCATTAATGAAAAGATATTCCACGCAATGCATAAAATCACTGCAGGGAAAATGCACAAAAGCCACAGTCAGAATTTCACCTAGTCAATAGTCTTTGAAAATATATACCGTGTATATACTCATGTATAAGTTGATCTCGTCTATAAGTAGAGTGCAGTTTTGTTTCCAACAATTGGGAAATATGCTATGCCTCGTGGATAAGTCAAGGGTAAAACTTGGGGCTATGAAATTCTTTTTTTTTTTTTTTTTATAATTTTGTCAGATTTTACCTAAGTAAGATCCTGGAACATAATCCTGTATATAATGCAATGTGTGTGTGTGTGTATAATGCAGAGTGCATATAATGCCACGGGTGTTGCGAAATGTACACTGGGAGCTGACATTGGAGCTGCACAGAGGTGAAGGGAGCTGACCGGAGCTGCTACAACAGTATGTAACAGCTTGCTGCCAGCCCCCAACAGGACCGCCGGGCTTGTAATGAGCCTGGCGGTCCTGGTCTGTATTATGGCAATGTAAGTTGCCATAATACAGACCTTGACTCGAGTATAAGTCGAGTGGGCCTTTTTCAGCACACAAAATGTGATGAAAAACTCGACTTATACTCGAGTATATACGGTACATTGCTTCTGAACAGTGATTAAAAGTTTGGGATGGGGAGAGGTAGTATTTCTGGTAAAGATTGGGGAGGGAATCATTGGAATAGAACAGAAGAACAGTATTCTCACTACTGAGCTGTTACATGCTATCCCATTTCATTCCATATGTGCTAGATCCGTGTTCTGCAACCTTTTAACACCGGCGGCCAGTGTGTATTGTTGTGGGGTTGAAGGGTATATTAATATAATTTATTTTTAATTAAAAAGTAATAATGCTTACCTTTCCTTGGGAGGGCGGATAGTACAATGCAATTCCTGGTGGTCCACCGCTCCAAGCTAGCGAGAGGAGAACCCGGTGGAGCTGCAGGTTAGAGCTCCCCCGAGTCCTCTCTTCCTTCCCAGGGTTCTCTCTCCCTCCTTCCCCTGCCGGCTGCAGCATTACACTGCTATTGGGCTGGAGAGGGAGATCTCTGATCTCCCCTCCGGTCCTGCAGAGCAGTCAGGGGAGAGTGAGGCACAGTTCCTGGTGCTATGATCAAATGATCATAGCACCGGGAAAATATTTTGTGGCAATTTATTGCCGGTCTGCTAATGCTTTCACCCGACTATACCCCTAGCGGTATATTTGGGTGAAAGATTTTGCGCACCACCGGTTGAAGACCGGTGTCCTAGATCATCTGAGGAGCATATGTGCTGGTCTGGGTAAATCTTGAATTAATGGCAAGGTATTACTTCTCAATGGTAGAGTAGGGATGGAATCCATTAATTAATGCTTTCTAATCTAACAAGACATATAGCATTCTATGGAATCCAACTTGGGACTCAAGAGTGGGACCGGGGTAAGACCAAAATGGAGTATGTGCTGCAGGTAGATCTGTAACAATTTTCTATGCATGGGCATGCTCAAGGTGACCTAGTTGGGTTTTCATACAAAGTTTCTGCAATATCATTTGTTAAAAATGTTATAAAGCCTTTTTTTGTTTAATGCGCACAGTATATGTCTTTATGTACACTTGTAAAAAGTGTAAGCTAAATCTTAATGCAGCACTGTCACCTGCCTTGCAAAATTAGTATTTCATAAAGATAAAATGAAATACTCCTATTATGTGTTGGAATTTCACTGAAATTATAACAGTCAAAAGATATACTGAGACAAAGGGGAATACTTTTCTCGGTATTATTCCTCCCCCTGACACTTCCACACGTTTGGCAGAGCTACCGCCACCTAGAAGTGTCAGTCCCAAAGCCATCACAAGTGACCACTGCAGGAAATTGGCTCTGTCCATAAACCTCAGTGCTGTACAGAAAAGGATCGGCCAGAAGATAATGGCCCGTTCAGGTAAGTTAAACTCACCTTTGCCTTCATTAAGCGTTGACTTAAAAGACAATTTTTCTTGTGGTTGGGTTTATGATCGACTAGGTGAAGATCACTGTCAAATGCCAAATCAAAGTTATTTTTAGGTTTACACATGGAGGATCACACATTATGTCTGATCAAGTTGCACAATCATACTGTATATTTATTTACACTGCTCCAGTTGTGTTCCAACTATTGCCAATTCTTGTCTGACTTCAGTTGTTACAATTAAAGGGATACTATAGTCATCCAGACCACTTCAGCTCAATGAAGTGGTCTGGGTGCCAGGTCCCTCAGGTTTTAACCCTTTAGATGTAAACATAGCAGTTTCAGAGAAACTGCTATGTTTACATTTGGGGTGAAGCCTGCCTCTAGTGGCTGTCTTCCGGACAGCCACTAGGGGCGCATCTGCAACGCTTGAGGCACATTTCGCCTCCATCATGCAGAGCGTCCATAGGAAAGCATTGAGAAATGATTTCCTATAGACACTTTGAATGCGCGCGGCACCTGCCGCGCAAACGCATTCGGCTCCGCTGACGTCGGATGGGGAGCTGATGTCTGCGGGGGAGAAGAGGTCACCAGTGCCGAGGGTAAGTGGCTGAAGGGGTTTTAACTCCTTGAAATTAACTTCAAGGCTGCTTTAAAGTTTAACTATTGCTGCATACATGAGGCCATAGTGTAGGTGGAATTGGCAGCATTTTTCTTTTTCCTGAATACTCCATGACCAGATGCTCTGGCAGAGGGGCACCAATCATACGGGACCAATCTTAAATTTGATATAATTTGATATACTCATATGAGATAGCTGTTTAGCATTTTGTGCTGTAGTGATGCATGATGTGATCCCAGCATTCTATAAGCGTTCAATATGAGCTGAAGCACAACTTCTTGTAACATCTTTATACTACTGGACACCAGAGAAATTCACTTTTTAAATAATACAAATATATTGAAAATTATGAATAATTATTTAACGTAGTATATTTCTCTCAAAATAGACTGAAAACTTACAAGTATGCCTGGACTGTGAGAGATGTGAGAATTTTCAAATTATAATATTTCAAATTAAACATTTTCTTTCCTTCTCTCCTTGTTCAGATTTCCTTGGGATTATGGCATCTGGAGCCAGAGATGCTAAGAAAAGGGACCTCGAAGAAGGTTGTTCAAATGATTTCCCAAGGAAGAGGATCTCTCCTTCAGCCAAGCAGAACATGAAGGAGGTACAGTAATGATGCGTGTGGCCATAATGGAGTTTGCTTCTAGCATTTACAAAGAAAATTTGGTTTAATGCACGGTAATGTTTTGTATGTGAAACACCAGTTGTTTTTAAATGCAGGGTTTTTTTTGTTTGGTGTCCTCTAGCACAGCACAAAAAAAAAAAAAACACCTTAGACACAACTGGGTAATCACTAAATCCTGGAATGGTAGGGAACCACTGCTCTACCGTTTCCAACCCATTTGCACACTGTACTACACCATGGGGCAGTTATGCAGTCTCTGTATGCTGTGAAGGAATAACTGCTGCTCCCTTGCATTATATGTGCTGTGATGAGCAAGAACAAAAAAGGTTTGATATGTCATCTTCCCTGAATGCAGACATGGGAGCTGGAGAGCTGTCTCTGCAGGTGGCCCCGGGGTGTAATATAATGGGGTGGCATACATGGAGAGAGCCTAAAGAGTTATGATAGAAAATAAGAGGTATAGACTATCCTAAAGAAGGTGAGAAGATGACATTAAAAAGATGGGTAAGGCAAGCAATGTGAGGGTTGAAATCAGAAGACAAGTGGTTAGGAAGAGCTGGGAAAAGCATGAAAAGCGGTTCAGAGGTAAAGGGGAGTAGGTGAAATTTGCAGACACACAGTGGGGAAGCACAGTGAAGTAAACATGAGGATTGAGACCTGCGGTCTGAGGTTACTGATTAGATTAAAGGAGGCTATTGGCCAAGGAGCCAGGGAACAGTTAAGAGCGTGAGGCCAAAAACTAAAATTTTAGATTATCAGAGGATAACTAAAAAAAGTACTGAAAGTGAATATTTGGCTTAAAAGGCATTGTTTACATTTCTCTAATAAGATCTCTAGAGGTTTTCAGACAATACCAGAAGTGCTTCCTATTACGGTTTGCAATATTTGCAGAACAGACATTGGGTTCACTTGGTCTCACCATGCAGGTGTGATCATTCCCCATAGAGATGCATTGATATAATGCATCTCTGAGGACATGCTGGTTACTGCAACATGGCCATTCTCGTTCTAAAATGATGGAATAGATCTTTAAACTGAGCTCATACCCTGGCTTATTGGAAGAATGACTGAGCCCTCCAAACTTCTACAATATGTATTTCATAAAATGTATTAAATATAGATAACCTATGTCCACATGGTACTGAATTCACTAATTGTTTTTTTTGTAATGGAGTGGCTATATGGTTGTACAAGTATGATCTTGTAAGTGCGTTTATGGATATGTATGACCAATGGAAATGGTGAAATAAGGCTTAAAGGGATGCTCTGGACCCATAAAGCACCCATAAAGCACACCTCCCTGGCTGTCAGACAACTGGTCATGTTACTTCCTGGTTGTTCTACTGCTCAGTGGAACTAAACTCGAGAGGCAGCAAATGCCCAGGACACCTGCATGGCAAAGACTTATCATTGAGCTGCATTGGGAAGTCTGTGATTGGACAGCCACAGCAAGTCTGTGCTGTGGAGGACTTGCAAAGGCTGCAGACAAGAGATCTGCATCTTTTGCAAGTTGTCTGTAGACTTACCCCACAACGAAACAAAATGGCATACTTAAATGCATGCATGTTTTCATTTGGGGTATCTACTAAACAGTGTTTGGTTTTTTGTTTTTTTTCTTGTCTTTCTATGTGGGCAGTGGAGTGCCTGTTTAATTTTGAAATTTGTGAGGGGTTCTTATATGGACATATTTCATAGACGTTTGTTTGTTTGTTTTTTAGGATAATTACTTATCACCAAACAAGTTGGTTTCTGTTGGAAACGGGTAAGTAAAATCCTGTGAATTGAATTTCAGCCTACTTAATGTTTTAACAATAACCAGGCAATAGCTCTGTTAACTAGGCACCATTCCCTGTACATTTCTTCTTTAAACGTCAAAATTTCTCCTATTCCCTGCTTATCTGTATTGGTGTCCTTCCTTTATTCTTCTGACCGCTTCTAAATGGAGGTCCCGTTTTCTTTTTACTTTTCCTACAACAAACCAAATGCTTTCTGCATCCTATCTAGCCTTTACAGCTACATGTCCACATTTGAGATACAAACACAGTTCTGTTTCTTGTACTTTTTCTTCTCTCCCTTTCCTTTCTGCCTTTAAGTGCATACAGGCCTACTTTGATACTTTCTGTGCTGACCTACACTGTTGGATAGTGGTACATTTGATTTGAAATAATATTGTATAAGGGACTTTTTTTCAATGTTAATATGTCTGACGTCCTAAAGGGATGAAGACCTTTTTCCAAAATTATCCTATAATTCAGTGCTTCCCAAGTAGATCCTCAAGGCACTCAAAAAGTCCATGTTTTGATATATTTCCAAGAGAACAGAAGTGAGAAATCCTGGGATCTTGCTATGTCGTGAGGATTTAGTTGAGTTAAGACTGCTGTAAAGGGTAGGCTTAAATTAACACCTTCATGACTGTGTTGGCCAAATCCTATTAAGATGAATGTTGATACCTGACCTGTTGTGGAAGGGTTAACAATTGGGATGCATTTGTTTTATTGGGGCACCATAACTATTTGAGCATGTATATTTGCATTCCGTATTCCAAAGTGTTTTGCACGCATTTTTTTGGGAAATACAGAAAAGGGGTTCTTGTGCAGGTGTTTCTGTCAAATACTTATGTTTTTTACTATTTTATGTGAAATTTGTATTCCTATTTTCTGTAGAACACTGGTTGTGGAGTCTCCAAGCAGCAATCAAAAGCTCTATAAAGTTGTATATTGCAGGAGGAAAGCTCGGCAACAAACACAGAGTCCTGTGTACAGAAAGAAGTTGCACCCCAAAGGTTTGGGTGGTGACATGGCAAATAAGGAAAATGAGCTGGCGGCAGGGAACCTGCATGAGAAGCTCCAAAACGAGAGGTGCAGTTTAATGCTGAATTCCACTGACTCCTGTTCTGCTCAGACAGAGGGACCTTCTTCAAAATATAATGGATTCTTTGCAGAGGTAAATCTTTTTCCTTGGTCAATCTAGCCTTAGGAAAAAACATTAACACTAGTTCATAACTCAACATCTCCACTTATCCCTTCATTTACTAGGCAGCTGCTAAAACGATTCAGCAGTGATACAGTGCTCCGGAATTTGCTGGCGCTATATAAATAATTATTGTGCTTTCTGTGCAATGCACCTGTCTTTCATCTGAATGTACTAATGCTTTGTGATCAGGATTTACTAGCTTCAGTACCTGACAAAATTATACAGTGACCATTGTAACCCTACAGTGTAGCCACCAACAGCGAGGAAGATGAACAGTTACCTGGCCACTACCTACCCTGTCTGTTGCAAGAGCCTTCACTTACCTGCTGTTTCATTAGATTTGCGCAAAGATTTTTGTCTAAAAATTTATCGATTTTGTTTGGAAAACTCATCGAATAAAGCTATCCTTTCATGAGGCTTGAGTCCATCCTGTTCCATGTTGTTCTTGCTGACTCTGACGTGTGTGTAGTTACATCTAAGAATAATTTGCGTGCTTAGCATTCTGCTGTGGATATAAATGGATATAGCACTGTCCTAATTCCTATCTCTGATGTAAGCGTATATAGGTTTGGTAATAGTTTGTGTTTAGTTGAAAGTGCATTATATGTTATTTAAAGTTACAGCTGTTTGACCCGTCCCCCTGACGGGTGTATGTTAAACCCAAAGTAGCCCAAGCAAATGTCTGCTCTCCTACTCGGAGTAGGAGAGAGACACAAATATGGATTGATTTATTTTTATTTAGATTTTGACCATAAACCATTACAAATGTGTGCTGCAGCCTATCTTTGATTTGTATTTAGACAGAGGCTTTTTAAATATATCCCACTACTATATCCTGTTCTTAATTATTTTGCTGACTTCTCTACCTCTTCAATTGCAAGCACAGTATTTTAATATAAATTTAATATTTCAGGTCTCAAAAGATCATGACACTATGGCTCAAGTCCTATTCAGCAGGAATCTAAGGCTAAACGTTGCGCTTACCTTTTGGAAGAAGCGTAGTGTGAATGAACTTGTAGCGTATTTAGTCCGGTAAGCCCATTCTGCTTTCTTTTTCTTTTTCTTTTTTTTTTTCTTCTTTTTTTTTTTATATAATATCTCCAGTATTTCCAGTTGACCTTTTTGTACACCTATTGGGTGCAAAGAGCAGAGAGCTATTTTCTTGCAGTGACAGGATTTATAAGCTTAAAGGACAACTATAGGGACACAGACCACTTCAGCTCAATGAAGTGGTCTGGGTGCCAGGTCCCCCCTAGTTTTAACTCTGCAGATGAAAACATAGCAGTTTGAGAGAAACTGCTATGTTTACACTGCAGAGTTAATCCAGCCTCTAGTGGCGGTCTCTCTGACAGCGACCTGGAGTAAAGCGTATTATTTGACGTTGGACGTCCTCGCGATCCTCCAGTGTCAAAAAATATCTCCATAGGAAAGCATTGAGTAATGCTTTACTATGGGCTTTACTATGGCGCATTCGGCTCCATTTTGGAGTTTACGTCGGCGGGGGAGGAGAGGCTGGATTAAGGTAAATGGATTAAGGGGTTTTAAGCTCTTCAGCGCCAAGGGAGGGGGGCACTCAAAGAGCCTATAGTGCCAGGAAAACGGGCTTGTTTTCCTCGCACTATAGTATCCCTTTAACAGTAATATTTAATAGTTTGACAACAGGCTTCTAGTTTGGGTGTGGAAGAAATTCCACAACTTCCCAGAGTTTTTCTATTCCATAATATACTATCAATTGCTTATTAACGTTTTAAGACAAAAATAAAGCATCTGGAATGCTTTTAATAGTGTTAAGCCCTTGGTCTAAATGTTGACATTATCAAGTATCCTCATATCTTCTAAAGGCACATATTAACAGTTAAATGTATAAATACATTTGTTCCCCCCCCGAATCTGGTAGTTTTAATTCAAAGCAAATGTCATTTGGCATACAGATTTTATGTCATCGTAGACTGGAATATATATGTCAGATTTAAAATGACATACCATCCACTCTGTGAACTAAAGTGACTTTTTATAAGTAAATATTCTGCAACTAAGTCAGTTTGGCAAATCCTGAATAGATGACCTGCTATTTCTTTATTTATTTTTCAATTCATTATTCCTTTTACAGGCAGAGGTAATTCATATTACATGTCAATATTTGTTTGAGGGTATACAAACCTTTACAGACGCAAAACCCCAATAAAGTGTGTGTGTGTATGTATATGTATGTATGTGTATATATATATATATATATATATATATATATTTCAATCACGTCTTTTTCTTTTTACTTCTCTTCTTTCCCCATCTCTTTTCTTTTCCTTCTCTTCTTCTCAAAATATCTTTTAATCACCTCAATATTTGCTTTGCCGCTTTCCTTCTCTTCCACATCATCTAACAATAACCTGCTGTTTCAAACCTGAAATTGACCTTGCTGTATTTGTAGATGAAGGCCACAAAATGTTTCAGCTACCATCCAAATGATTGCTTAGCAAGCAAATCTACTGTAAAGCATTGTTATAAGTAAGCTCTCTGTTCTAAACAGTCACTGGATTAATGGCAGGATTTGTGTAAGTGTACTATTGCACTGAATAAAATACTCCTATCTTTGTTGGTTTCTAATAGAATGTCTTTTTTAAAGGAACACTACAGCACACTGTAAGTAAGAAGTCAGACCTTTAGAGCAGTTTTACTTTTATAGATTGGATGTGCTGTGGGCACTGCTTCACACCTTCACATCTTCACCACGTCAATCAGACAGACTGAAGATCCTGCTTAGGAGCTTCTGTTGGCTCTACTGAGCTAAGCCCTGTAGTGCAGGGCTAGTTCATCGGCTGAGAATTAACTGGTTGCCCTCAGCCAATGCGCTATGCCCTGCACTACTGGGCTTAGCTCAGAGCTTCCAATAAGTAGCACTGGTCTTTCAGATCTATTCTGACCTCAAGCACTCCTGTGCCAGCGGAGGTGTGTGGAATAAATACATTTATTCCCAAAGTGCATTTTCATTTATCACAAGTGTAATTGCTCGTAAACAGAGAGCAACCATATGCTTATCAGTTTATATATATATAGTCCAGTTCACTTTTCTACCTAGGAGGAGTGAGTGCTCTCAGGTCTAAGTGCGTGCAGAGTCCGCTCTGTAGAGTAAATTCTGTAACGTTGTTCTTGTTTTTATAGTAACCTTTTAAAGGCACACTAGAGGCACCGTGACCGTTACATCTCAATGAAATGGTCAGGGTGTAGTAGCCTTGTCCTTTTAACGCTTTAAAGTAAAATGGCATTTTTTTTATTTCTAGGACTAACATTTAAGGGCTGTCTTACGGAGGACACCCTAAGGCAAAACTCGACAAATCCCAGGCGCCCGGTCGCCATGGCGACAAATAATTTTGTCCTGGCACTTGGGTATTTGTCAGCCTGTTTTCAGTGGTGCCCGCATGCCCGCTGTTCTACTATTTTTGGTCTGCCGATGCTCTCGTGAAGATCAACTGTCGTGGCTTTAAGACGTGGCTCCGCGTGACGTAACGTGCGTCGCGCATGCGCGATCGCGTCATTGAGTGCGCGATTGTCTAGTAACTTGCGTTAAGGAGTGGTAAAACAGCAATTTCAAAAGCAGTCGTAAAACCGTGATATCTGGGAAAGTATTTATATTATACTTTTTTTTTTTTTTTTAATGCCCCATTTCCACAATACATTTGTATTGTCAGTAGTAATAATGGCAGTAATTATTCTAATGGCAGTAACAATTATAATAAAATGTCATTAATAAAAAAATAGCAATAATGAATAAAAAAATTATATATTTGTATTCTCAAAGTGAATTTAAATTCATATGAGGTTATATTGCTTTGATAGCAAAGTATTTTTTTTATTGTAATTATAATGTATTTGTGATGTTATTGTGCTCTTCTCCTCATGGAATCTGCTACCTGACACTATAGTGACTGATGTCACTATTTCCCCACTATTTTTTATCTAAAAACGCACACTTCTTTGACCAGAGTTAAGCCAAAGTGAAAGACAATATTTTAATTTGTTTAGTAATAATTTTTTTGTTAACTTGAAATAGTGATAATGTTCTTCTTACTAGCCTATTCCCTTATTAATTCCTTTTTTACATCTTCATAATAATTTCCCCCAAAATAGCCATCCTCAAACTTTTTCCTCAAAGATCATGGATCAGTTTTTCTCGCAAAATGCACAGTAACATACTGCTGTTGTCCAGAAGTACGATATATGTGACACATGCAGGTTGATCAACTGATTTTAAATTCTTTATTTTTCATGTGGAAAGGTAACAGATTCATGAATTTGGCCACAACCGCCTCGACACGAGTAGAATCAGTGCATATTAAATACAAGGCATTGTTGTGTGCTAGTCACACACATTTTATATTTACAATAGGTCACATTGTTATAGTGAGGTTTGAAATCTAATAACTGTGGGGGTGTAAGACTTCTGTCTGCCTAAGACACCCTAAGTTCTGTGGAGTCGTGGGTGGAGGGGGAAGGCAGTTATAGCTAGGCCCAGTGGCTGTTCCCAATTCCAGATCGTGCGACTAGAAGTTATGGGTGTTGGGTGTGTCTCTTGGCCCTTCCGAGTTTGGACAGGAAGCGAGTTGCGGTAGTTGCGGGGTTTCTCTATGTGTGCCCTTTCTAGGACTATGTCCGCTCCTCTTTTTGTCCCTGATTGTAGCTATTGGTGGGTACCCATGTGTGCGGTGCTCTAGGTGTCCAAAGGTGTCTTTTTTGCCCTAGTGGTAGCTGCAGGTTGTTCCTGGTCAGTGTAGTAATCAGAAGTTTGTGTCTAGGTATATATATAAGTCGCTGTAGTGTAACAGGATCAAGTTGTGCCCTTGGGGCTTTAGGCTAGGGGTATCAGACCTTGCAATAGTTTGACTCCAGTCAGGGTTACTATGTTGCACTTGATGTCGTTTCCCATTAACCCCAGGGAGAGGGGGGGGATTGTTATCGGAGCTGGTGTGCTTGGCTCTTGTGGGCCTTTTTAGCACTGTAATGGCCGTCAGTGTAGGAGAACTACATATAACTTAAATGAACAGTCTTATTAACTTAAAATATTTAAACTAATTAAACTAAGGCCTATGAGTCCGTCGGTTAGGCAGTTCGTTCAGGTTTTGGTTTTCGGGCCTCTGCTTGTTCCAGGGGTTGCGGATGAATCTGTGCTCGTTGTCCCTGGTCGATGATCTGGTTGTATCGCTGAGGTCGCTGCGAGGTTTGATATTCCCAATGCGTTCATCAGTGCTGGGCCCTCTGTGTGGTCGGTGGCCCTGTAGTGCTTGTCATCTTTAGTGATCCAGAGAGTTCCTGGTGTTGCCCATCTATAGGCGACTCCTGCGGCTTGGAGTTGTTTGGTGATTGGTTGCATACTTTTGCGCCATATCAGTGTGGCCCTGCTCAAGTCCTGAAAGAAAGAGTTTGCTGTCTTCAAAGTCAAGAGGTGTCTTCCCTTGGATAGCTGCCATTAGCCCCAGTTTGTCCAACATTGATTGGCACCTCAATATTATGTCCCGTGGTGCTGACTTGGGTGCTTTTAGTCCCTTTACCTCCCCTTCTACCGCCTGAGTGCGCATGGACACGGCGTGCACGTCTAGTTTAAGCACTGCCAGGTCCGCTTCCCACATTTGTCTTAAGTGATTAACTGATTTTATGGTTTTTAATCTACTTTGGTCCTAGAAAGTTCTTAGGCGTCCTAAAAGGTTAATGGGCAAAAGCTGAGAGGCAAACCTGCGTGCATCTGGAAAGATAAACATCAGGGTTACTAACAAGAAGGGGTGCTGTGCTTTTAAAAACATTTAAAATAGTAATTTTTTTGGAGATCATGTCATTACAGAAGTAATAACGTACTAAAATGCAAACATCTTTCTTTTGCAATATCAGAAGATGCAAAGCAACTGCAGATGACAAATTTTGTTTGGAAAGTGAAGTGGAACTTGTTACTGCAGAACCAACCAGCAGAGGAGTCCCCTTCAACAAGTCACTCTCAAAAGGCTGGAAAAAAGGAAGTTTAAGCAAGATTGGTGCAAGGAACTCACGTGGCTAAAATTTGACCATAACATGGGTATAGCCATATGTGAGATCTGTGCTTTCTTCCCTGGCATTGCTGACCAAGCACCTAAGTGTGTGAAAGGGTTTTCAAGGCCATTTAAACTGGTGACCTTCAAAAAAACATGGAAAGTCTCTACAGCATGAAAAATGTGTAACGGCAAAACATGCTCTGTTGACTCCAGAAGCTACGCTATTGGCTGCATACATTAAGAAAATGGATCAAGGGATGTTTAACCACATGAAGGTTCTACTAAATGCGGCTTATTATATGTCAAAAAACAGGCCATATACAGATTTTGAATGTTTGCTAGAGATGACTGGGAAACTAGGGATTGCTGTGAGAGATGAGTATGCAAATGACGAGAGATGCAAGTGATTTATCTCACATATTGCAACTGTAATAAGGAAAGAACTCCTCTGCAAGCTAAAGAAGGTGAAATATGTCAGTTTGATGCTAGACGGATCAACTGATTAAGGTGGCGTCGAAGAGTTAATATTGTAAGTCAGGTATGTCAAGAACAATAAGATTAAATAATTATTTCTATCGGTCGTACCTCTTGAAATGGGTACTTGGAAACAATCACTGAAGACACATGGCCTCTTAGACTGGCTTTCTTCAAGCAAGCTGATTGGATTTGGTACAGCTAGTGCTGCCAGCATGATTGGAGCTGAAAAAGGACTGGTACAGAAAGTACAGCAAAATTTCACACATGTAATTGGCATTTACTGTGTTGCACACATATTTAAATTTAAGTGTATTAAGCTCTCTAAAAGACAGAAAATGCATTGATGGCCTTAACTCTGTTTTTAAAGATGATGTACCAATTTTACCAGTATTCACCTAAGAGAATGCGTCAGCTAAAGCAGGTAGCAGAAATTTCAGTACTTGCATAACATAAGATGGGTATCAAGCAAAGTCAGTGCTCACTCTGCACTTGTCAAAGGCTGGAAATGTGTGACAGTCCACCTTGAAAGTGTTGCTGCAGAACAAGGCTTCTGCAGTTGCACATGGTTTGTTAAAGGATCACTATAGGGTCAGGAAAACTAAGCGGTTTTCCTGACACTATAGTGCCCTGAGGGTGCCCCCACCCTCAGGGTCCCCCTCCCGCTGGCTGAAGGGGTTAAAACCCCTTACCTTTTAGGCAGCTTACCCTTTTCTAGCGCCAGGCTCCCTCGGCATTGGTGACTTCTCCTTTTTCAATGCTTTCTATGGAAATTATTAAGAACCCTTTTCTTTTATTTCAAAGGGAAGAGCTTTTCTTAAGCACAATTGAGTTACATATGAAAAAATGCAATTTCATCGTTAAACTCACTCAAAGATGTGCCACAACAGCATGAGGAGAGATTTATCAGTGGAACATCACTTAAGAGTGTATCAAAACATACAGTTCCATGGACTCTGCCATGCTGCAACTTCTTCGATCCAACATGAAAAAGACAAATTGATTCAACATTGGTGTTAAATATCTGGAAGAGCGATTTCTGTATGAAAATTGAATGTTCCACAGCAGTGTTTGATAGCTTTGCCTGGCCATCGGGAACAGCATTACAAGACTATGGGGTTGATAACATTACAGCATTGGCTCATCATTTCCAGAGACAACTCTCACTGCCTGAAATGCATGACAAATGTATGCATGCAATTCACAATGAGTGGTATGAATTTAAAGTCCTTGGCAAAGGGAAGAAACTAAGTGATCTTCTGGATTTGACACACTCCAACACAGATTTCCTGTTTTGGGAAACTTGTTATCTATAGTGTCTGTGTTGCCAGTCTCAACCGCACGTTGTGAAAGAGGGTTCAGTTTAATGAACTTTGTAAAAAAATAAGTTCAAATCACCAATACAGCAAGAAAGTTTAGGTGACTTGTTAATGATCAACATGAATGGACTATCCGTGAGGAAGTTTGATCCTGCAAAGGCTGTCGACCATTGGTACTTTAATTTAAAAAAAATACAAGGCATGTTCATGGCCACAAAAAGCCTGAGACTTTCTGTTTTTACAATTTTTCTCAGTTTTTGTTAGACATGAGATTCTTGTAAAGTAGTTAAAAATGGAGACTACGCATTATTAAGACTATATGATCTTGTAGTCATTATGGAGCTGGTGGACTTCTGTCTGTACTCAAACATCAATGAAAGGGCTGAGTGTGACTGCTTACCAGCCGAGGGTCACAAATGGTTTTAAACTTGAAACAGGATGGCACCTGTAGCGTGGTAGTACCAGAACTACTACAATGACCTTCTTAACCATAGACTGTCCCTTAAACATGCATGAAGTGTCATTATACCTAGCAAAGAATAGCCTTTGACGGCATCCTTTTGTACAGTTTGGACTGGCATGTCAGGCAGGGGGCAGGTTTTTTTTTTTTTTTTTATATGGTATCTTCGGTCATTAAAAGAACACTATAGGGTCAGGAACACATATGTATTCCTGACCCTGTAGTGTTAAAACCACCATGTATCCTCACCTGCCCCCCTAAAAAAACAAAAAAACAAAAACAAAAAAAAAAAGCAACATTTTACCTTTATTCCAATCTGCTGCTGGCTATGCCCCTGCTCTGCCTGCCTGGCTGACAGTCAGAAGTGGTGTTCTGAGCCTATCACAATGCTTTCACATAGGAAACATTGGATTGGATCAGATTGTCAAGGATGCAGAGACCGCAGAGGGTCAGAGACCGCACAAGTCAAACACTGCCCTGGCCAATCACCATCTACTCATAGAGATGCATTGAATCAATGCATCTCTATGAGGAAAGTTCAGTTTCTCCATGCAGAGGGTGGAGACAGTGAATGTCAGTGCTGCCCCAGGAAGCACCTGTAGCAGCCATCTGAGGAGTGGCCAATTGAGGTATCCCTAGGCTGTAATGTAAACATAGCATTTTCTCTGAAAACAGGGTTTACTGCAAAATGCCTGAAGAAAATGATTCTAATCACCAGAACAAATACAATAAGCTGTAGTAGTTCTGGTGACTATAGTGTCCCTTTAAATTAACTCCTCTTGCAAAGAGCATTTGCTAAGTTACCAGATGTTTATCCATATAAATGCAGTTTATAGAAATTAAAATGACAGTGTGTTTTACAGCGATACATTTCAAGGTGAGAAATGTGTTCAGGCTAGAAATAGACAAGTGAACTTCTATTTTGCCAATTGTAGCTGCATATTATAGAGGATTCAGTTTTCACCAATAATACATTGTATGAAAAACTCAATGTATAAATCACTGGTTTTTCATGATGCAAATGTTTGAAGGTTATTCTGTTTCTTTAAATAGCAGATTCAGTTAAAGGAGTATCAAATGAGGCTACATTTAAACACATATAAAGGATCGACCTGAGATGGCGAGTCAATTGAATATGCGCCACAACAGGCTAGCAGAGCTTCCTCATTGCACAGGAACTTTGGGGACAGCGCTACTGTAAGGTGGCACAGGCAGTTTTCTTAGCGCACATGGGCAGCAGGCATAATGTCAGAAAAACTGCTGCCCTCATTAAAAAAAAAATTAAAAAAAATTCTATAGTGGTCAGGTGGTGTGTACTGCCGCCTAATGCAGACCACATGATTGGCACAGTTGCTAGGATTCCCAGTCTGTGCTCTGACTTCCTCGCGGAGTACCTGATCACAAAGAGAAGATCGTGCACTTAACCACCAGTGAATCATTAAGACCTCTATACCACCAGCAACTCATTAATAACCCGCTTGAACCCAAAGGGAAAATCATCATTAAAGGACCACTATAGGCACCCAGACCAATTCACCTCAACGAAGTGATCTGGGTGTCTGGTCCCCCTAGTTTTAATCCTGCAGCTGAAAACATTGCAGTTTCAGAGAAACTGCTATTTTTACACTGCAGGGTTAATCCAGCCTCTAGTGGCTGTCTCACTGACTGCTACTTTCGTGATTTACACAGAGTAAATCGTACTTATTTAGATCCCCATAGGAAAGCATTGAGTAATGCTTTCCTATGGGTGGGTTTGGGTGCTTGCGCGCATCTGGCCGTGCATGCGCATTAGGCTCCACTCAGGAGCTGATGTGGATGGAGGAGGAGAGGTCCCCAGCGCTGGATTAAGGTAAGCAAATAAATGGGTAATTTACCTAAATGGTGACTAGGCTTGTATAGCGTTAGGAATACATATTCCTAATGCTATAGTGTTCCATTAACACCCAGACCATTAGGAACAATGGCATCCTCCCTGCAAAAAAAAACAAAAAACTTTAGTCCACTCTCCTGGCTTATTTCATTTTATTATGCACACAGCCCACAGCCTGACTTCTGTTTACATGTTTAATTGCAGTGTTGGTACTTGGGTTCAGAAATGTTTGCCTTTGCTGCTCTAGGCAGTAAAACCCATCTCATACAATTGTTTATAGAGTCCTGGTCCGCTGGTGTTGTTCCTTTAGTCAGGGTTAAATTTTTTTCAAACGAACACTGATTGTGGTTCTCTGGCCACCTACAAACCTTCCCCTTCTTTAGGTACAAATAAAGCCTAGATTTAATAATGCTTTAACATACCATTTCATACCATAAATGGGAGATGTGATGGGCTGAAAGCTGACACTGTCACACTGCTGTCCTTTGCTATTTAGGATACTGCTTCCTCATTATCCCAAGTCTTATAGAGGAGACAGGCCGCTGGGGACTCTCATTTAGTGTTAAAGTATTCAAAAACAGTTTAACACTAAACAGTATAGCACAAGGTGATTCCAGGCACTATGGCCACTATAATAAATGGAAGCGGTTATATTGCCTCGTGTCATTTTAAGCTGATTGTAAAACAACTTGCAAGGCTTCATATGCATGCTGAGTGTTTTCAAGATTTTGATGGAGAAAGGAAACACGAAAAACTTTTTCAATGGAACCTTTTGCTCAATTCAGCGAGAGAACAAAATGAAGGGTAAATGCTTGTGTAAGTGAATAAAATATGTGGATTCTTAGCTAATCTAAAATTAATGCATTTGGTGTAAATGGCCCTTAAAGTAACTTGACTTGATATTGCCTTCTTAAATAAAAAAATATTAATCTGCTTATTCAGTTGTTAATGCAGGTTGTTGTTTTTTATTTTGTTTTTACAGGATGCAAGATTTAGGAGTTGTGGTGGATTTTCTGCCAGTTCTTACCAATAGGTATTGTCCATATATTTTTGTCTTGAAATGTTTGTGGTACCTTTGCCCTATATGAAATGAACCATAACCTTTTCTTTTAAAGCCTACAAGAAGATAAATCCTCTGTGTCTATGGGCTGCTGTGTGGATCTTCTCCCACTGGTCAAGTCACTTTTTAAAAGTAAATATGAAGAGTAAGTATTACATACTTCCTATTACTGTGATATAAATTGGAGACCTTTGAGATCCATTGAGTCAATTACTTCAGGATAACAGGAGACACAATCTCTGAAATGTAGCTCACCATTTCCCCCCTGACATGTTGGGTCATCCACCAATGGAGAAGGTAGAAGGAAATGCCGAAAAGAGGAGAGGGGAGGATCTAAAGGAGAATAGAGAGAAGAGAGGGGGGAGGGGGGGAGTATGGGGCAGGTGTAGATGGACTTGTGTACAATGGCATGTCAGTTAGGACGATGGGCTGGAAATCCTTTGGAGTTGGTTAAATGTTTGTTCCTTGTGCAAGTTTAGTCTAGTGTAAGTGTGGAGAAAAATTGTGAAATCCTGCTCCTCTGGGTGATGGGCCCACCAGCAATAAACAAGGCACATCTCAACTAGAACAGAGTGTGCACTTCCCAGTTGAAAAGCATAACTTGATTTAGTCTGCGAAGAGGAATCAAGCCTCTGATCAAGAGGGAGATGTAGATTACCCTCAGTGAGTACTGCAGAGGTGAATGTCTCTAAGGATTTCAGATTTTAGAAAAACATGTTGTAATTTAGTGTGTGCTTAAATAACTGCGATGGTGTATTCGTATTCCAGTATTGACAGATATACAAAAAGAAATCGACCAAAAGCGTCAGTTTTCTGGTCAGATGAGACAAACTGTAAAGTTCTGGCCATAAGTAAAGCCACTCTATTTTTTTTTTTGTGTTAGTATGGTTTGCTGTATTAGAAGGGGAAGTTTTTGTCTCCCAATGAGACCTGCTAAACCCCGCTTGAAATGGGTCTCTTGTATAAATGCTACAGAGATGATTTGTTTCTGTAGATATGAGTAATTTGGAGCACTTCTCATGCTTATTAAGCCGCTGTATATTATATGAAAGTCATGCCAAAGGTGTGGATAGAGACGGTGGAGAAAGGGGGAAGAGAGAGGGGAGGGTGGGGGAGGGCAGATTAACAAAAAAGAGAAGCCTGAAGCAGGAGAAAGGGTTAGAAGGGGAAAGAGAATTGACGGAAAAGAGAAAAGGGGGATAAATGGAAACAAAAATTTAGAATGTATAACTATGTACAAGCTGTCTGGTTAGTAGGAGACCTTACATTTCAGGAAAATAAGAATAAGAGAGCTAAGGGGAGGAATTGCCCTGGTGCACTCACTTCCACTAGGGTCATGTTCCTGGCCAATTACTTATTTAATTACTTACTTAATTTTCAAAAGAGAGGGGAGTATTTATCCTTGAGTGTCCGTGAGTGTAATGTTTGATCCCTTAAAAAAACAAAACACCCCAAGCTCCACAACCACTACAGCTGTCATGGATTCATCCCATGGTAAAAAGTCAAACCATTTGCAAATAGTATAAAAACTTACCTGCGGTGTGCCGATCACCTCTCTGTTGGTGTCTGGCTCTGCAGGACTTGGATCAGGGGAGTTAAAAGAAGCTTATGCAAACCATTTCACTGGATGCCCGGGCACTTTCAACACCAAAACCACTACAGCATGCTATAGTGGTTATGATAAAATTACCAGAAAATATGAATTGATAAAAATACAATCTAAAAAGGTGCTACTATCACCTATATGGGCCACTGCACCACACATGCAGAAGTGAAGTACAAACAAATAAAAAGTGGTGAGAGCACACAAAGTTAAAAAAATATTACCACTTTACACTAATGAAATCCTGCAGAGAAAGACCGGAAACAAACATAGTAATGATAAAATAGTAATGATAAAATATAAAACTGTGGATGATTGGTCTCGCTCACATATTACTGAGCCACTTGATGTAAGCTGGTTCTGACTAAAAGCGTTGAATAGACTGGTGAAGGTTGGCACTGGATACAAAAAACTGCAGTCTTCCCTGTTCTTTCCTTTATAATAGAATGCAGGATCTTATAAAAAATATTTATTAAACAAACTGGAAAATACAGCAATAAAGTCCAAGTGCACTAAACCGCCACATCACAGTAACACTGATGCGTTTCGGCTGAAGCCTTTTTCAAAGTGTACGTCTATTCAGGGCTTTTCTTCCTTTTGGGGGAAAAAAGGAAAGCCCTGAATAGACATACTGTGTGGGAGATTTAGATGGTACAGGTCTCAAAGTAGTTGTTGAAAAAATAAATCTCTCCCTAGATAGTCCAACATCCTCAATATGCATTAAACTACTTGTTTCCAAGTGGGCAGACCCCTGGGTGGATCAGATGGGTTTGGCCTGGCGGTTTATTGCCCACTCCATATTTTCTTAAAGCATGTCCTTTAAAGAACCTAAAGACATATACACCAATACCTTTTAACATGCCCTGTGTCCAGCTCTGGTGATGGTTATCTAGTAGTTTTATGGCTTAGGCCTGGTGTAAGATCAAAGCCAACTCATGCTTTGGCATGACAGTGAGACCCCTGGTCACTTAATGTGTCACACCCAGGGAGTCACCTTTGTATAGGTACTGTTCACAGGGTCTTCATGGGAAGGAGGCTGCACCCTTGGCCTAAAATATTAGCATAAAATCTAAAGCAGGCTCTTTCCTAACTGCTGTGAAAGACAGGAAAAAAAGACTGCTTGATGGGGAAGGGTGACTAACCCATAATCAATGCTTTCATGACTTAAAACAACACTATCGTGTTAAGAATAAAAACTTGTATTTCTAACGCTATAATGCTGGAGTATTAGTTTAGGTTCCCAGCCCCCCTCAGTAAGGAGTTAACAAATAATTCATTTACTTATCCTCCATTGTGGCGCTGGTCCTGCATCCATAGATGAGATTATCCATCTTGCCGTTCTCAGCCAATTAAATGCTTTTCTGTAAAGCATTGGGAGGCTGCTGCACCAATCAGCATCTCCTCATAGCGATGCATTGAATTAATGCATCTCTATGGGGAGTGTTCAGGGTCTCCATGCTGATTGTGGAGACACTAAAAATAGGTGCTGCACACAGTGCAGTACTGACATAGGAAATAACTCTAGAGGCCATCTGAGAGACTGTCACTAGAGGGGTTACTAGGCAGCAATGTAAACACTGCCTTTTCATTGCTCAGCCTGCAGGGCTGAAGTGGTTCTAGTGACTAGAGTGTTCCTTTAATCAGGAAAGGAAGTTTTAATTATTTATCATTTTGACTTGTATAGCTTCTATAAATGTATTCCATATGTGTGAGCTTAATTATGGATTATGAAAAGTAAAGGTGGTCTTAAAGTGAGTATTGTTACTTGTGTCTTGGAGAAGAGTAACTTCCTACATATGTTTTTTTTTGTTTAGATATATAATAGTCGGTCTGAATTGGCTTCAGGCTATTGTGAAGAGGTGGTGGACACCGTTATCTGCAAATTCGGAAAGTCCAGCAGATGAGTAAGTACTCTTAATTTTCAGATATGAAGGTCAATCCCTTCTGTAGCAAAATTAAATGGATGTATACTCAACTCGGGAAATCTTACTTATTTATTATTTATTACTGGCATTTATAAAGCGCCAACATATTCTGCAACGCTGTACAATTGGGAAAGAGACAAAACACAATTAGAACAGGCTGTGCCTGTGAGCTTACAATCTAAAGGTTTAAAATTGGGAGATGAGACAAGAGGTAGCAGAGGACAGAGAGAGTTAATGTTTTAACTGCAGCAGCTGATAACATGAATGGAATTAGGAGGTGATTGGCTGTGGTTCCAAACAGCTGGAGGTGCATGCTATATAGTTAGAAGGAACGCGGGTGGGTAGAGTTGAGTAAAATTAAATGGCCTTCATATTGCAGGGATGGATGGTTTGGGTCTATGGAAGAGAGCTAAGACAGTTACTTAAAATGAATTTAATGCTGGGAGTGGCAAGCGGGTGGGAGGAGGAATGGAGAAAATGTACAATGTTGCCTATAGTATCTCTATGGACAATACTTTTATTGTATTTTATTCCTCTGGATATGTAAGAAAAGGGGAAAAAAGGCAATGTAACTCAAGATAGGCAAGTCACAAGGCCTCCACAAGTTGCGTAGAGCTAGACTGAGTGAGCTTTTCCTGCTTTATCCCATCCTTTTTCTCATACTGTAAAAAGGTTCCTCCACAAATTAATCCTCCTTTTTTTGTAAACTGTATTTGCTTACCTGAAAATCATTTCTAGATAATTTAAACCAGATTGTAAATAAAATTTGCTTGTTTACTTTTTATGTTGCTTCCTTGCTTAATGGACCAAAGCATCAGAGATAAAATGAGCTTCCTGCATCTGCACTAGGCAGCGGTCAGCAACCTATGGCATGTGTGATTGAAGCTGCCAGAACCAAACATGCTCTGGCCTATCAGGAGTCCCAGTGGGACTTCAGATATCTGCAGAGCTGCAGTAGAAACCTCCCATTCTATAAATAATACAAACAGCCCACATACACAACACCACTGACAATCCACATGCATGCACACAACCCCTCAAGCAGCCTCTCACATGCAATACAACAAGCAGACAGACACAAATACACAATGTGACATATCATCCAAACACACAATTCTACAATCTGCCCCCATGCACAGCCCACGTTCATAGTTATTTTACACAATACCACAAACTATTCATTAACATATACAATATAACAGCTCATATATGCACAAACCTAACACTACAAAGCAGCTTCAACAGATCTTAATAACACAAGAATACGGCAACATATACACCTCAATTTTAAAAAAAATGGACCGGCACGCCAAGTGCTGTTTTAGTTTTAAATTCTTACATAGTTCACGAATAATTTACAGTTTTTTATGCACATCTAAACTGTTAATCCTTATCCAAATAATCAGAACACTCTTTCTGTTTTTGTTTTTAGAAATGTTCTCATTTTAAAACACCAATTAAGTGCTATGTGGAAACAAGAAAATCATCTGACCTCCTTCCCTGGTTATACTGGGAACATAGCAAAGGTAAATAATTTAATATTTCAACTACCTGCTTTATAACAAACATTTTTATAGTTGAAAACTTTGCAGTTGCAGTGAATGCTTTATATAGCCTTTCATGTTAAGGATAGCAGTAATATCCTAGTGGTATGTTGCTTTTTAATGGTGAGCATTTAATTTGGATAAGGCAAAAATATAAACTGATTTACAGGGACACTGCAGACCCCTAAAGCCCTTTAGGTTGCTAAAATGCTGTGTGTGTAAAGAGTGTGTCCTTTTTTTTTTTTTTTTCAAAGAGGGCCGATTTTCAATATAAATGTATAAATTATTTTGGTTACACTCCTCTGACTTTTCAAGCAGACAATGGGTTCTATTACTTCCTGGTTCGGTTAGATTAGCTGTACTGAACTCAAGAGGCAACAATTGCTCAGAGCACCTACATTGCAAAGTCTGTGATTGAACAGTCACATAAAGTCTGGGTGCGGTTAGAAGGGGAGGACTTCCAAAGGCAGCAGGCTAGAGATAAGCAGTTTTTGCAAGCTGTTTATAGATATAACTCCAATGACAAAAATGCATAATTAAATGCTTGCAAGTTTTCATTTTGGGTGTATATACTTTTTATTTATTTTGTATTTGGGAAGTGGAGAGTCCCTTTAAACACTTACTAGGGATCGACCGATAATCTGTGAACTTTCAGGCCGATAGCCGATAACTTGACGATATTCTGTACATTTACCATTTTTAAAAAATAAACAAATTCTAAAGGTAAATGCACAAAATATGCATGCCACATTTAGTGGATGAAGTGTGTTTAGACAGGGGAACTGTGTGTGTAGTGGATGCAGTGTGTATTTGTGTAGTGTGTGTGTATATAATAAATGTAGTGTGTTTGTGTAGTGTGTATATATAGTGAATGCAGTGAGTGTGTGTGTAGTGTGTATATATAGTGAATGCAGTGAGTGTGTGTGTAGTGTGTATATATAGTGAATGCAGTGAGTGTTTGTGTAGTGTGTATATATAGTGAATGCAGTGAGTGTTTGTGTAGTGTGTATATATAGTGAATGCAGTGTTTGTGTAGTGTGTATATAGTGAATGCAGTGAGTGTTTGTGTAGTGTGTGTGTATATAGTGAATGCAGTGAGTTTGTGTAGTGTGTGTATATAGTGAATGCAGTGAGTTTGTGTAGTGTGTGTGTATATAGTGAATGCAGTGAGTTTGTGTAGTGTGTGTGTATATATAGTGAATGCAGTGAGTTTGTGTAGTGTGTGTGTATATATAGTGAATGCAGTGAGTTTGTGTAGTGTGTGTATATATAGTGAATGCAGTGAGAGTTTGTGTAGTGTGTGTATATATAGTGAATGCAGTGAGTGTTTGTGTAGTGTGTGTGTGTATATATAGTGAATGCAGTGAGTGTTTGTGTAGTGTGTGTGTGTGTATATATAGTGAATGCAGTGAGTGTTTGTGTAGTGTGTGTGTGTATATATAGTGAATGCAGTGAGTGTTTGTGTAGTGTGTGTGTATATATAGTGAATGCATTGAGTGTTTGTGTAGTGTGTGTGTATAGTGAATGCAGTGAGTGTTTGTGTAGTGTGTGTATATAGTGAGTGTTTGTGTAGTGTGTGTATATAGTGAATGCAGTGAGTGTTTGTATAGTGTGTGTATAGTGAGTGTTTGTGTAGTGTGTGTATAGTGAATGCAGTGAGTGTTTGTGTAGTGTGTGTATAGTGAATGCATTGAGTGTTTGTGTAGTGTGTGTGTATAGTGAATGCAGTGAGTGTTTGTGTAGTGTGTGTATATAGTGAGTGTTTGTGTAGTGTGTGTATATAGTGAATGCAGTGAGTGTTTGTATAGTGTGTGTATAGTGAGTGTTTGTGTAGTGTGTGTATAGTGAATGCAGTGAGTGTTTGTGTAGTGTGTGTATAGTGAGATGCAGTGTGTTTGTGTAGTGTGTGTATAGTGAATGCAGTGAGTGTTTGTGTAGTGTGTGTATAGTGAATGCAGTGAGTGTTTGTGTAGTGTGTGTATAGTGAATGCAGTGAGTGTTTGTGTAGTGTGTGTGTGTGTATAGTGAATGCAGTGAGTGTTTGTGTAGTGTGTGTGTGTATAGTGAATGCAGTGAGTTTGTGTAGTGTGTGTGTGTATAGTGAATGCAGTGAGTTTGTGTAGTGTGTGTGTGTGTGTGTGTGTGTATAGTGAATGTAGAGTGTGTAGTGAAGTGAATGCATTGTGTGGGGGGAGGGGGGGCATTTTTTTTATTTTTGTTTTTTTTAATATTTAAATGTTTTTTGTTTGTTTTAGTCCCGCTTCCCTGCTTCTTACAGGGGAGGGGGGGATATAGTATTCCCTGTTGGTCCGGTGGCTTGTTTAGTATTGGGTGGGCCCGCAGGAAGCTGTTTCTTACCTTTCTTGCAGCTCCCCAGTGGTAACCCATGGCAACGCTCTGAGGCCGCAGGTCTCGCGTGATTTGCACTGGGATCTGGAGGAGCTGCAAGAAAGGTAAGAAACCATTTCCTGCGGGCCCCCCCAGGACTGCCGGGCTTGTAATGAGCCTGGCGGTCCTAGAAGGTATTATTGGCAATATCGGTATCTTGCCGAAAATACCGAATATCGGCTGATATCGGTTGATCCCTAACACTTACTGTGAGGGGAGGTATGGTTCTCCAGCTCTGCAAAGAACAGTTTCTCATCTGTAGAAATAAAAGTCAAAATATTGAACTGATTTTCTATTTTTTTGCTTTCTGATAGGATTTGGACGGCTATTTATCACAGCTCCATTGACCTGGATTCTTCATCAGACTATGTGCTTTCTTCTGAATTTGCAAGATAGTGGACAATTCTTGCTATGGATGCTACTGAAGTAACCAATATTGGAAACAAACAATATAATAAAACCACTAACTCATCGAAAATGTGATCGTTCACGCATCCATTATGAATCCACAAACGAAACTGTGACTGCCTGCTTCATATTGAAGTAGTGTTATCTCAAGATGGCTTCTTTGACTTATTTTAAGGAATAGTCCTTTATTTTTGGACATGTGAAAAAGTGTAACTCATTACCCAAAGGATAATGGAAACCATTACATAAACTTCACTGGGATCATGTTTGATGGACCGCTGCCATCTGAGCAAAATGCACTTCGTAATGCGTAAGAGTCCGTGCAAACCTCTGTGCCTCCATCTCATTGGTACACTTAGATGTGGACTCTGGACATTGCAGCTATTTTCTGTTTGTGTTTTATTATTATTATTTGAAGCGTAATATTAAAAACATTTTTTTGCAATAGAATAAAATTTTATCTTCTGTTTTGTTTTGTTAAAGGCCATTTTCTACCAACCCGGTATAAAGACTAATAGACCACATGCAGTAGAAGATCCTTTGTACTAGGGATCGACCGATATAGATTTTTTTTTAGAGCCGATCATAGGCGTGCGCACGGGGTGTGCCTGGGCACACACTAATCCCCTTGGCATGCCTATGGAGTGAGACCGGCAGGGGAGATCTCAGAATCTCCCCTGCCAGCTCATGCAGACTCTGCTCTAAGCCTCCATGGGCCGGTGGGGAGATAAAAGATCTCCCTCACCGACCCACATGCAGGGAGGGAGGCAGGACAGGACCCGGGGAGCTAATGCCAGCAGCTCCGCTGGTTTCCTCTCACGAGATCTCGCAAGAGTGAACTCTAGCCCCGCAGGCTAGAGTTCACTCTCCACTTGACCACCAGGGAAAGCAACAAGGATCCCCCCTCCCTACATAAGGTAAGAAGGGAGGGTGGATATTAAGTAATCTGCCCCCACCTCCACTGGACCACCAGGGAAGGCAGCAGCACAGTCCCCCCCTCCCTACAAAAGGTAAGAAGGGAGGGGGGGATATTTATTAACTAATCTGCCCCCACCTCCACCCACACAAATCACCCAAACACGCGCTCATACAGCTCTCACAAACCGCACCAGCACACACAGTACACGAACAGCACCCTCACAAACACACAGCATACTAACAGTACCCTCACACAGCACACGACACCTTCACACAGCACATTAACAGGACCCTAACAAACGCACACTACCAGTACCCTCACACACTAACGGCACCCTCACACACAGTACACTAACGGCACACTAACTGCACCCTCACACACAGTACACTAACGGCACACTAACTGCACCCTCACACACACGTAGCACACTAACGGCACCCTCACACACACACACGTAGCACACTAACGGCACCCTCACACACACGTAGCACACTAACGGCACCCTCACACACACGTAGCACACTAACGGCACCCTCACCCCACCCTCACACAGCACACACACACAGCAGTGTGTATATATGTATGTATGTGTATACATACATATACACGCGGCTTGTGCTTGAGGGTGCACACCCTATGGAGCCGATACTGATAATCTGTGAACTTTCAGGCCGATAGCTTACCGATATTCAATACACTTACCATATTTTTTTTAGTGGATGCAGTGTGTTTGTGTGTAAATATGTGCGGTAGGAACTCCCCTCCTCCCAAATCCTTACCTGTCTTAGTGCCCCCCCCCCCCATTCTCCTGTTCCTCTCCCTTCTCTTTTAGTGGTCTGTCCCCCCCACCCCTGTTTTCATTTTTCCCTTCCCTCCCCTGTATGTTAGTGTCATCCTTTAATGTTCCCCTCTCCCCATAGTGTTCTTCACCCCCCCATTCCCTGTCCCATAGTGTTCTCCACCCCCCCATTCCCTGTCCCATAGT